GGCTATTTAACTTTCCGAATCGAGCCGAACTACGCGGGTCGCCATTTTGTTTTGCCCGGAAGTTCTCGCGCTACTCCTCTCTCTCTCACTTTCTCTCTCTCCACTGCCCACAGACAAAATTGCACGCTTTTAGGCTTTCTAACACTAACAGTACTTAGTAATAGATATCTAGAACATTTGTTCACAGCACAGAATTCTATAATTCTGTTTTATCACAGTGTAGAATTCTATGGTTCAGGGTGAACGCTTCACTGGTTGGCCGAGGCTATAACGGTGAACGCCCACTGGGTGAGAATAGCCAAAATACTCGCCTGGGCTATTATCACCCCGGGTGAGAATAGAGGTGGCCTATTCTTTATTGTATTTGTTGGAATGGTGGCTCGTTACCGAAGTCCTTCCGCCTACACAATTGGAAAAGCACCGGAAGCTGGCTTTAAAACAAAAGGCTGGCCCTAGATTCTGGAGATCTAGAATCTAGAGATCTATTTCTCCGAACGTTTGGGAAAATAGACTTGAACTCTATTTCTCCGAACGGTTTCTGTTCTCGAGATTTGTTGATAATACAGTCAAACCTGTGTAAGACGGCCACCCATTGTCATGGAGAAAAGTGGCCATATAAGACAGGTGCCGTCTTAGGCAGGACTGATCAAGATGAAGAAAACAAACCATTCCCATCTGAGGTCCCTATCGCAAGTATCCGCATTGTTGTTGTTGTAGTTGTTGTTGTTGTTGGTTGTATTTTGTTTGTAATTTTCATTTTGTTGCTGATTTTGCACAAGGGTGACAATAAAACGAAATGTATCAGACTAGGAAGACCGAGTGCCATGTTAAAACAAACACATGGGTCGCCACCACTCGGAGAACGAGCGACGCTTCTGTCACAAGTTCATGTTGACGTCTTTTGTTACTTTGTTACAGACTGGGTAAACAGTGACCACTCATCTCACTTACGACTTGTAGTATATGAGTTCTGGGCGGGGCTTGTGGGTTTTTGAGGGATCACATGCTTACCTCACCAGCAGCTGAAAATTGGTAGCTATTGGTCAACAGTGGGAGGGGCCTATGCAACATGATCGGTTGGAGGGACTGCCAAAAAACAAGTGATTGAATTATGACGGCTTGCCCACAACGCCAGGGGTCAATGCGCAATTTATGACAAAACGTAATGGAGTCACTGAGGTGGCCGTCTAAGACAGGTGTTATACATTGCTTAGTGTGATAGGGGTTGTTTGTTAAAATATGGTGGCCGTGGCTGCGTTGGACAGGTGCCCATTTTTCACAGTTAAATTATATATAGAAAAAACGCAAGGGGGGAAATAGAAAGTGGCCGTTTGTACAGGTGGCCGTCTTATAGAGGTTGCCGTCAGGGCAGGTTTGACTGTAATTGTGAATGGAGTGGCCTGTGAGAGAGTGTGTGTGTGTGTGTGTGTGTGTGTGTGTGTGTGTGTGTGTGTGTGTGTATGTAGGCCTAAGGCAGGGCTCCTCATTATGTACAAATGTTCGTATATTACGAATTAAACCTGCAGATTACCCCCTTTACGTTTTGGTGGTGCATGAGCGTTGCTCTTTAAAATTTCGTTTCGGGGGTTAGCATTCGCTTTAAAACATAGGTGGTGTGCGTTTAGCAAGCATCATTTCCCCCCTACTCCATCCCGAAGCCGAGTCAATGATTTGACAACACATCCACACACATAGATCTACTTTTGCTTTTGTTTCCACTCAGGGGGGGGGGGGGGGGGGGGTAGACACTTGGACTTGGAGTCCTTGACGTGATACTTCAGGATAAAAAAAAATAATGACAACACACACACACACACACACGCACACAGACAGAGCAGAGCAGAGGACATGGATTATATATATGTTTATGGACACCCGTGGATATTTTTAAAGTCAGTTTGGCAGTCACCTTGGTCTTGGTGATTTGTCGTTGATCCTGATTTTTTCTCCCGGAGATCCTGATTTTTTCTCCCGGAGATCCTGATTTTTAGATTTCATATAGAGTGGCAGGTCTGCCCCCATTCTTCTTTAAAACCATGAATTGTCCTGTTTTTATTTATTTTTTTGTTTAAAAACAAAAATCGAAAGTCTGGAAAGACTGGAATGTGAACCCTGGGATGGCTCTGAAGAATAATGAATCAGTTTATTTTATTTGTGTATTATTACAGTTGGAATTGACACCTTTCGGTTTGTCAACTCTATTTTATTTGAAGTTGGTAGCTCTAGATGTTCGTCCAATGAAATTAGAGAACAAATTGACCCACTTAGACTTGAGGAGCTCGAAAGCAGAGCCAAGAAACAAGCCTTCCATTTTACTGTACACAAAATCCTTCATGAACTTGAATTTATGCAAAATGATTACCTGATAAAAATGAATTTATAGATAGTTTTGAATACCATTCTGTTGGTAAAAAGAAGAATTTGAGTACAAAACAATCGGAAATTGACCTCTATACTATTTCCTTTCGAACCCAGGAATGTGTATAACTACTCGTTATGACTTATCAACTAGATCTCGAATCTAATGAGAGGGGGTTAGATCTACATTATTCATCTTATGTGTTCGTAACACATTATGAATAGAAAGCTAAAGATAGATTATAGAACGTTGTTTTCAGACTTGACACCGCTTCACTCGGTGGCAATTGACACCAGCATCAATTGCCACCGCGGCACTCGGTGGCAATTGACACTACCTTAAAAAAATAAATACGTAGGTTTTTTTGTAACGAGCGACCACTATGAGACGGAGTAGAATAGAGGGTTGGGGTTCGGATTAGGGTAAGGTCTCTTCTTTATTGTGTTTGTTGGGGTTGTGGCTGGTTACGGAAGTCCTTCTGACTCGGATGTAACAGTGATCTTGGAGCGCATGAACTTGCTTTCGATCCGTCGAATTATTAAAATATCACCTGTTTGTACGATCGCTTGCCTAAACAAACTTTCAAACACATACCTCCCATGTGTTGGGGTCGCTGATCGATTCCGTCTCAGTGTTGGCAAAACAGCCCACTGGAAAAGGATCTGCAGTAATCGAATTTAATATAATATGTGAGGCAGCGTGGTGAAATCAGGCGCTCGTCGGAATACAGAAATTGGAGAAACAGGCATTTTTCTGCCAGTTTAGAAATTTTTATTTGAATTTTTGTTTTTGGCTCAACCTCTTTTATGTCCATATAAAAATAAAACCACATATATATATATATATATATATGAAATGTTGACATTAATTAGTTCTAGAAGCAATCTTCTACCTTTGAAGGTGCCAAGACCCAAATTCAGGTGGTTATGCCAGATATATTGAAATGGAAAAGGCCCCTGGTTTGAGTCAGAAGCTTCTGTTAGTTGATTTCATAACAGGTTATTATCGTAAGTTATAACAAATAGTTTTTATAGTTAGTGCTACTGGTTGGAGTATGTTTTCAGTCAGATCATTGGTTGTGTCTAATCAATAACTTGTTGCTCTGGTGACACTCTTTTTTTTTTTTTTCAGTCCACATTACTTTAAGCACATCAAAGTTTCTGCTCTAGCCCTGTTGAAAATGGTGATGCATGCTCGTTCTGGTGGCAACCTGGAGGTGATGGGGCTGTTATTGGGGAAGGTGGATGGCAATACGATGATTGTCATGGACGGAGTCGCTTTGCCAGTGGAGGGCACAGAGACACGCGTTAACGCTCAGGCTCAGGCGTATGAATACATGGCTGCCTACACTGAAGCAGCAAAACAGGTAGGTCTTACACTTTTTTTACTGCGAATTGAGAATGAACTGTTTAACAAGGGCCCAAAATAACCATTTTTTACTGTGTTTCTCATTTACACTACTTTGTTGAGTTTGAACTTAGGAAACATGCGTATATAAATAACATGTATTTCAGGTAAAACTCAAAGTGTGCCTCTCCACTAAAATTTTTTTTTTACCATTGATCTGTTTATATATTTTTGAGATTTACATAATTTGTGTAAAGTTGTATGCTTTGATATCTTATTTTTTCGATGATTTTGATCTGTTTGGGGCCTAAGTGATTTTAACTCCATTTTATTATAGAAAATTAAAATTACCTCCAAATCATTTGTTTCTTGTGGTAAAAAAATCAATTCAAATTTTGAAGAAAAAAAATTTAAGACTTCTGAGGTGTTCTATTATTTTCTTATAACAGGTAAAACGGCTAGAAAATGCTATTGGTTGGTATCATAGCCATCCAGGCTACGGCTGCTGGTTGTCAGGCATTGATGTATCCACACAAATGCTGAATCAACAATTTCAGGAACCATTTGTTGCCATTGTGGTGAGTTGAGCTGTCATTTACAATGTAAACACATGCTTGCTTTGCCTGTATTACTTGGATTTTTATTGTTCTTTTACCATTGGATGATGCTTTTTTGTTTTATTTTTGTTTCTTTTTGTCCCATTATTCTGGTGCTGTGTTAATGTAGACTAGTTAATTATGCTGTCTTGCAGTGATTATAAAGATATAGATTAGTTAATATTATGATTACAACAAAAGACAGAAGAAAAAATTTTAAAACATTTTATCGTTAGTAATTCATTATATTGTTAAAGTTAACAGTGCCAAGTGCAGGCTGGGCTTTGGGCTGGAAATTGGGTTCCATTCAAGGGGTAATTTTTGGGCCGTTTGGGATCAGAGGTAGCTCTCCTCTTGGTTAAGGTGAAAGCGGTAAAACTCGTGGACAAAAATGAATGAAACTTGTCTACCAACCAAGAGAATGGTCAAACTTACTATGTTAGCATCCAGTACCAACCGATTTCTAGAACTGAAGAAATTACAGTGCTTGCAATTTTCTTCTGTTGTTCAAAAACAAAGAGGAGCTGCTGCATGGACGCTGACCGGACAGGTGCCCCACATATCTTATTTATTGCTGTAAAATTTCAGACTCCTATGTGTAGTACATTTTACTTACCACCTTAAAATGACCACCATCCAGAGATAAAAGGCTAGAGCCGGAAACTGGGTCACAAACTGAACAAGCTAGTTTGCCAGCATGTGAAAGGTGCGTGATCATTAGGTGGCATGTGATTGGCTGCGTCAATCTATATAGATCACCAAAAAGTCCACTTCGAGTTTTCCCTGTTCTGCTTTGTTAAGTTGTAGAAGGTGTGTTTGGAGAACAGCACTGATTTTTTAAAGATCAAAGTTATATGATTTCTTTACCAGGTAGAGTAAATTCAAATAATTTCTGCCCAGTATGTTCAAAGTTAGACCAAAGTAGTTTTTAAGCAAAGATGTATTGAAAACTTGTGAATGTGAAGTTTTGTAATGCCTCGCGAGCCTGTGCCCCTTATCGGACGCAGCTCAAGTAATGTCGCGCAATTCAACAAATTATCATGCAAATATTAGTCTTAATGATCCAAAGTAATAAAGACATTAGAAAAGTGATAGCAGAACTAGATTCTGCGCTAAAAATCACATGAAGATGCCAAGTTTCATTCATATACTGCATTCACAATTCATTACTGACTTATGAATAGTTTTCCATGAAAATACGTAAAGAAACATTCCACTGTTCAGTGAATATTTTCCTATTTAAAAGTGTCCGAAAATTTAGCAATGAAAAGTCCCAATTACTTTAAAAAAAATTTGTCAATGGATTTTTGAAATTTATTACCCCAATTCTTAGAATTTATTCCTCTCTCATTTAAGCTTATTTTTAGAGCAATTTGCATAAAAATTTAATTTTTCATTGTCATTGCTCTCAACATGGATGATAGTTGAAATTTGATTGATGAGGGAATGTCAGTTTTTATTTATTTTCTCCCAACTCATTACCGCTACATTCCAAAAAGACGTTCTTGGTCAGGATGTTTATAAGTATAGTTTATGTAGAAGGTGGGACAGTGCCATTGATCAGTCTAACCTTTTTACTGTCCCTCTGTTTACTATCAAGCTGTTTGTCCTCCTTTCCCCCCCTTATTCATAACCTTTTTCTTTTTCACTCTTACGTTCTTGGTGCTTTTGTCATAGTTAATATTATATGCTTTTTTCATTTATTTGTTTTTCTGTGATGTGGTTTTATGTTTGTGTGTGAATATTTATGCATAGATATGGCTGTGTGTGAAAAATTACTGTTTGCCTCTTTCTGATCCAATTATACAGGCATCTCTGCTGCTGTACTAAAAAAAATTCCCAGGTCTGGAAATCAATTTCATGGAGTATCAACATCTCTCTGTTAGGATTCTATATCCCACTCAGCCGTGGGTTGGCCCCAAACAGACTGAATGGAAGCAGTCCGCTTTCTGATTTATTAGAATTGTGATAATGTGGGTGTAAAACATGTACAATCATATGAATGACTTGAATGGACGTTTTATTCTGGTACCTTTTGCAGATTGATCCTGTTCGCACGATATCTGCTGGAAAGGTCAACATTGGAGCTTTCAGAACTTACCCCAGGGTAATTATCATTGAAGAATGTGTATTGCCACAGAAATTTTTCGTCTCTCTGCTGTGTGAAGTCTTCCTCCTCATGTGCTTAAGCTCAAAGACTTATTTCACTGATTATGTAAGCTTAATTGGTTTGGTAGTGTCTACCTCAAAAATGTTAGTGGGGCTCCTAATAATCTCATGGCTGCTGTGAATGCTTGTTTTTTTCCCTTTACTTTTTACAGCTCTAAAAACAGGTCATAATGTTTGAGGCATCGTGGTGTAATCAGGGGCTTGTCAAAATAATGAAATCAAAGGAATCTGCATTTTTTGGCCGATGGACAATGTTTTTTAAATTGTCTTTTTATTGCCTCAACACCTTTTATATCCTTTTAAAAACACATTTTTGTGTGGATTTTACTGAAAAACATTGATTAAGGCACACAAAATGTAAATTGTCTGTTTCCAAGGAAGTTGCCAAATTTTGACGGCCATTTTCTCGCTAATTTTACTACTGAAACTAGGCGACCCCGGCCTCCTTCAATCGCAAATATTTTGACTTCTATTCAACATAGATGGATATTTTTTTCACCAAAAGGAATGCATATGAAGAGGCTTTAAGATGATACCAATAACCCCTTATGCCCAAAAATTCCACCATGTCGTGACACATATTTTTATGATTTCTTGGCCACGAAACTCTAGCCTTGACAAAGACAGCCAAATTTGAAACCAAATTGCCAGCTAATACATAATTTGCAATATTGTCATCCCTGCTTCTTTTCCTTCTGTTTGTGTATTCACATCCTGTAGTTTAATTTACTGTTGAAAAGTCTTGGGGACCATTATTCCCACTGCATTTTTAAAAGTTATAATTTCATTTTGCCGAAGGTGGGAATAAGATTATTTAATGAAGTGTTTTCTCAATTATTTTTGTGGGTGAACATACAATATGAATTCAGGATTTGTTTTAATTCACAACTCAATGATGCTGCCTCGAATAAGAAATTAAAAAAATTATGTTCCTATTGTGGGAAAGTTTTTCATGTGTGGTCTCATTTCTACCTGGTTCTTTGTTTCACTCTGATCACCCTTTCAAGCAAGTTTATTTTAGCCTTCGCTCCTGTCAGTGTCAGTAGATTGTACACTCTACATTGTAATCGATATCATGTTATATGGCAGCAATAGCTGTAACAGAATTTTCTGCAAATAGATATTTAAATATGATGCATCTTGTAACCAAGCTGTATAATTCTGTACTTCAGGGATATAAGCCTCCAGATGAATACCCATCTGAGTACCAATCCATTCCTCTTAACAAGATTGAGGACTTTGGAGTTCACTGCAAAGCGTAAGTACAAGTAGGGAAGGAATCTTGACTTTTAGTGGGCTCATTTAAGCCCATTTGCAATAATATTCAGTGATGTATAATAATGGGACTAACTTGTTATCTGAAAATGTGCCAGTGACTTCAGTGATTATGGGAATGCAACATTTTTATGAGACTGAAAGGAGTATGGATGCCATTTGTGAGAAAAATGCTGAATTCAGTGATACACTGCTAGAACTGTAAGCTTGTTGCTGATGAGTCAGAATATGTTTTATTTTTATTTATTTAACCACCCCCTCCCCCCCCCACTAATTTGACTTGCTAGTTGCTAGTATGTTTTACACATATACTGATACTGGGGGGGGGGATCTGATTGTCACTCTTCTCATGATGGGCGTTTGGGATGTGTTAGTACAGTTTTTCCACTTTGCTTGCAGCAAAGTGTAATGACTATGATTGCTTTCTATAGGGCCCACTTCCTGATGGCTCTAGGCTCGTTGCAATATAATAAAATTTAAGAATTTTAAAGCTGACACAATGATGTGTTTCATGCAGATTAGTCCTTTCAGTGTACAACAATCCTTTCAAATACTTATGCACCCATAATCTGACAAATGAACACATACACTAAAAGATAATCACTGGCTGCTGATCACATCTGTTGTTGAAAGAAGAATCAGACTAGTGGGTAAAATAGGATTTAAATAAATGTATCCATAGACTTGCTTTAAATGCAATCAACATAGGCGGTATCTCTGTCTTTTTAGAGGCATGTATCCCTTTTAGTTTGGGTTGACCCTTATAGACAACGTAGAGCATCCTGCCTCCTAAATAATTCACTTTTAATATAATAATAATAATAAATGAATTTATAACGTTCCAGAGTCCACAAAAAGTGCTTGATGGCACTTACAAAACACACACACACACACACACACACCCACAAGAGCTCTAAAGCTCAGTACCACTACTACATGCATAAACAAAAAAAACCTGACAGATATTTCAGATATAGAGTTCCAGCATTATAAATGTACTTTCCTGAAAAACATTGCCTTCAACTTTGATTTAAATTGAAAGAGACATTTTAACATCTAAATCCAAATTGTTCCAAAGTTTTGGGGCACAGATGGAAAAGGCCCTTTCACCCAACATTTGTGTCAGTTCAGGCAGGTGAATGTAATGCATCTCCTGCAAATCTTTTCTCGGCCTCTCCCAGGTACTACCCGCTGGACATCTCTTACTTCAAGTCGTCCATGGATCGACGTCTGCTCGAGTCTCTGTGGAACAAGTACTGGGTGAACACGCTCAGCTCCTCCAGCCTACTCACAGTGAGACTGCTGGGCTCTAGGGACTTTTGATTTATTCTTTGTAGTGCAATGAACAAGATTAAAAGTGATAAAAGTGGATTTCATTTCATGAAACCATTTCAGACACAATCTGAGGAATTTTTGCTTGCAGGGACGTATGTTTAACAGGCAGGGGATTAACAGAAAACACAAAAAAAAAACCCCCAATCCCTCTCTACCCCCATCCACAACATAGATGTAAAGGAAATCTAAGGCAGCAATTTGTTGCTTATTCTGCGGAGTACTTTGACGTAGCACTATGTGGTTGGTGGACTCTGTGATGTGATGTAACCTACTCCTGTTTCATTCTACTTTTACTATGGACCTGATCTGCCGCTGTGATTATGTTGTTGTTACTGAAGACAACTTTCTCTCCAGAATGCTGACTACACAACAGGCATGATCTTTGACCTCTCTGAAAAACTGGAGCAGTCTGAGTCTCAGCTAGGCCGCAGTGGTCTCATTAGCACCGACAGTCAGGACCGGAAGACGGAGGACAAGCTCACCAAGGCTACCAAGGACGGGTGGGTTGATTCTTTTATCTCTTCTTTGATCTTGGCACTTTTTGTTTTTTTATGAGCAGCGCTTTTTCTCTACTATAAATTATTCTGTCGTGGCTTGGACTCAGCCTTTAGGAGAAGACATGAATATCCCTGGGCACAATACGAATGGGATTTGGCAGATTTGTTCTGGAACCATCCAGGGTATGAGGCAAATGTCTGAACTACTTCATGACGTTGACCCTTGCATTGGTGTCTACTCCTTCAATTGGAATAGCCGAAGAGCATGGAGCCTCCTGATTGGTGATATGTGAGGCAGTCCTGATGATGAAATCTGACACTCGTCGAAATATTGAAATTGAAGAAACTGGCATTTTTCTGCCAGTTTGGCAATTTTTGTCAAATATTTTTGTTTTTAGTACCATTGCTGTCCAATTAGGAACACAATTCTGGGTGGATTTTACTGAAAGAGGTTGATTAAAAGCACAAAAGATGTAAGTTTTCAGTTTTCACGGACTATCAAGCTATGGAAATAACCAAACTCTGGTGGCCATTTTCTCGCTTATTCTACCTTTGAAATCAGATGACCCCCATCTTCTTCAATCTCAAACATCTTGACTTCTATTCAAGATAGATGGGTATTTTTTTTCACCTATAGCAAGACAACTGAACAATCTGTAAGATGATAGCAATAACGCCACGTGGCCAAAAATTGACGAGCGCCTGATTCCACCACATCGTGACACATATACATGTAATAGAAATCTCACTGTTAGACTAAAGTGCATGGGTTTGCCACGCTTGGTGATCATTTTTTTTTGCCAATGAGATAGGGCTGCAAATTTCTGCTGATTTTTCTGATATGTTCTGTTTTTGAACCTGTCTTACTTCCAAATGAAAAAGGTGCCTAAACTATCAAAGGGGGCTCTCATGGCCTAGAGGTTTAGGTATTCGCCTCTCATTCAAAGGTCGTGGATTCAAATCCTGGTAGCGCCAGAAAAATTTTTTTCTCTAAAATTGTCTCCTTTTACCTCCTTTCCTTCTTTCTAGCAATGTTCTGTTGTCTGCTTTCGTCTCCACTTTCTGCCCCCACTCCCTCACCTCCTTTGCCCCCTCCTCTGGGCTCCTGACTCTGCAGCCTTTCAACTGCTACTCCTTGGCTCCTTCTTACTGCTGTCTGTCAGCCACGCCCCTTATCTTCCGGTAGGAAAGATCTACACCTAGCCTTTTCGGACAAGGGGGAAAAATCTCGGAGGTCGCGTGTGCAAGTTGCGCGCGTTTAAGATCCCTTGGAGGTCTAAAATCGATAAGAGTAGGTTACGGCGGCCACCCGGGCGAAATTCAAAATTTCGTATCAACTGAAAATGTTTAATGTGTCCCGCGCGTTCATATGACCTTATGCAGTTGCGAGTGCCGTAAAACACTTGCCAAAATCGCCCACCAAATATATCATGGGCGCCAAGATTTAAACAGGAAAAAAGATTTAGCATGTTCTCTTTCATGTGACCTTAAAGGCTGAGGGGACCTCTTTTATGCCCCTTCCAGGGAGGCCCATAACTTTGGCCTAAGTTCTATGCTAAATTTCACAATTTAATTAATACCTATTGGATGAGCTAAGGCTTTAAAACAGTTTGGATCATTTTAACCAAAAATTGTTTATCCCCAAAAAAGCAGTAATCTGAAACAAAACCATTTTTTCCCCTTCCTTCTTTATCTAAGAAGAAAACTAGCGATTAGAAGAAATGCTCCTGTTTCTAAACTGAAAATGATTTTGAGGGTTATGGAATCTGAATCTTCACTAGCAACTCCTCAAATAATGATAGATTTTTTTTCTTCTTTTTCTGGCTCCTTTGAGATTCGGTCTTGGACAGGTTCCATTGAACTTACCTGAACCTTGCATTTGAAATCCTTTATGTGGGTGGTTGGAGGGTGCCACTGGTAGTTAAAAGTTGCCTGGAGAAACTTCTAAGAAACTGTGCCAACTTGGCCTGGTGGCAATATATGTGGCATCGCCAGGTATCAGTCCAATGACTAAAAGGCGCTGAGGGGGGCACCCATAAGTCTTATTTTGTGAAGACTCGCGCTCAAATCTACAGGATAGCTCTTAGGCGGACTGAGAGCTAATGAGTACAATGTATGTGTTGAGGAAACACCCCCCCTCCCTCGTCAGTCTACAGGGTTTTCGACACATACAGCTTAGCTTCTGATCCTAGCTTCTATTTTGAAGTTACTCTGTTTCTTCAATTTCATAAGCTCAGCTGGAGCTGCACATGTAATTAGTTGCTACTTATTTTTTAGCTGCACATGGCAATTGAGCAAGGCAGATCTAGATGATTGTCTCTAGTCTCTATGATTCGACCACTAGTCAAGATGGCAAGCGGTGGTATCCTGTTATACCGTCAACTTTATGCTTGTTCCAAGGCAAGCAGTTTAACATGGTTTCACTGTACTTTTCCCGATTTCTTTTGCTGCAATCATCATCAAGGCATCTACTTTTGTTTGTTTGTTAGAACCTCTCTTAATTTTTGTATGTCTGTAAATTTCAGATGCCGGACAACGATGGAAGTTCTGCAAGGTCTGATGTCCCAGGTGATCAAAGACAGACTGTTCAACCAAGTGGGCTGCAAGCCTGCACAGCCATGAACTATTGTACTTTCATAACATCACTCAGTAAATCTTGGGGTTTGTTTTTTTTAGTTTGAAAGATTGCATGTTTATGGTGTACCTGCTGGTTCCATAGCTGTATAAGTTTGAATGTATATATTATTATATGTGTGATTGCTGGGTTGCAATTGTGTATTTTCTATGTGGTGAGGCACTTTCAATGAGGTAATGAAAGCAACGGAACAGTTCATTGTCTCGTGTGTTCTCGTGTGTTCTGCGTGGATGGAAGGATATGACTACTGTATGAGTGCGAAGAGTGAACTTCATCCTGCAGCATGAAAATAAAAACAAGCACTTTTATGTTAGGACATTTTTTCAAGTCATACTGTGCAAATATTTGTTGCCTCAATGCAGTTTCTTGTCAAAGGGGGCACATCAAACTTTGATTCAAAGTGACCACCAATTAAAAAGACATCTGTCGATATTCTTTGTGAATCAATGTTTGCCTCTCCCCCCTCCCCCTTGCTAGCTAGCCCTGAAAATAAGGGTTAAGGGTCTATTGGCTTGACCATGCTTATTCATACAATGCTTCTACTTGATTACGTTTGGTGAGATGGAATCACTCATTAATGGGAACTTTTTCATTTTTCTTTGACAAAATATTCCGTCTTGCATCTTGTGCTGACAGTTGAATTTTCTAGTTTGTTTCTACTTTCTGGTAGTGGAAAACTGAAAATTGATGACTTGAGAGAAAGACTTTGCAAACCATTTGTTGTGTATGCATGTATGAATCACTTGACTGACTATGATATTGATGTTTGTGTAAATCAGAAAGTTATTTCGTATTCCTCTGATGAGTGCTTTGCCGAATAAAACATCAATATACTGTAAAGTACAAAAGTTCTTTTGGCTTAAATTTCTCATTTTCCTTCTCGTAATTGAGAAATTTCCTTTTTGTAATTGATTTCTTGTGGGTGGTTGGCGGGTGCTCTGGTGTGGTTTGCTTCTTCTTTCCTATCGAACATCTATCGTCCTTATCTCCCCTTCTTTTTTATGTAACACCTCTAATCTTCTGGCGCTCATATGACCTTGTGCAGTTGCGAGCGCTGTAAAACCTCTACTGGTACCCCCCAAAAAAAGTGATTTCTTATTTGAGAGGTATTTTATACCAGTGCAGTTGACTGTCTCTTTTGGGGGGTAGCCATGTTGCACCGTGCCCACCACAGACATGTCAAAGAAGAGAAGAATTTGCAAGTGGTTTAGAAAAGAGGTGGTTTATTTACTTTCAGAACAATCAAAACATATATTGCAAGAATTATGATTTTTCAAAACTAGCACGTGGGCACATTTGTGACATTTGAAGATAAAATTGCAATATTTGAGTTAAAAAATCTTCAGTCGCACAGTCATTCTCCACAAAAATACAAATAATAATAATAACAGCCCTTGCAAGAATGTCAACACCTTCGAGAATTTACTTTTCACTTCCAATAAGAACAAGCACTAAAAAAAAAGCACTGTGTCTGACTATAGGACTATAGGATGGCTTTCCTTTTCTTTATTTCAATTTTGCAATACTGTTCTCATGAAAACTGCCAATACCTGGTGGTTAAAGCAACTCATTTTCAAGAAGAGAAAGCTATGCAGTTTAAATGGCTGCTCTTAATAGTCTTTAGACATCAAGAATAATTTTTCTGAACTGAAATCATGTGAGGCATTGTGGTGAAATAGGCACTTTTCCTCCAGTTTGGCAATTTTAATCCAATTTTTGTTTTTTTGGCTCAACGCCATTTAGGTCCATACACCCATCACAGCATCTTTATTTTTCTTCTAAGCTTCTAAATGTTAGTGTCTTTTATGCCTCATTAGACCATTTAGAAGGTGAGCTTCGATTCTGCCTGACAAGGCCAACTCGGGTTGAGAGGGATACAACGTCCAAGCAGAAAGACTGAGATAAAAATTCTCCTCACATGGGAATCAAACTTGGGTCTTCGGTGTGTGATGGTGAAGCAGCTAACCACTAAACAGATGCTGTCACAACATCTACAAGAGGAAAAGGTTATTAATTTCACAATATGTATACCCTTCAAATTTTATCCAGTAGAAAACCAGTATAATCTATGCTAAACAAGCAAATTTTATCCTGAGCAAAATTAATAATAACAAATGCAGTCACAGAATGTACACATTTTACTTTGATAAATACTTCATGTAAAGCTACTTCTGTACTGTAAATATAGATATAACACTTAATTGTAAGTAAAATAGAAAAAAGGAACAATTTCAAAGTACAAATGCAGATTATCAACAAAATTATTAAAAAACTACCAGTAGCTTAGATTTACATTTGTCCTTGGGGAAAAAAAAGAAAATCAGAACACCATTTTAAAGAAGCGAAGGTCACTGATACAAACAACAATAAAAAATGAATGTCATGTCCTACATAAAAGACTTGAGTATATACCCTGGGTTGTCATCATACCAGCCAGGCATCATTCTTTGAGTAAAAGTATTTCTCGTCATTCATAGATATAGAATAATATTAATTAAAAAGCAAGAGGTAGTTTCGGGAGTGCAATCAGACTTTTTTTTCTTTTTTCTAACCAATCAGAATTTATATCTTAACACTTTGCAGTCACACAGACAGCAGTACAAAATACCCCATCTAGTCACCCAGAGTGACTGCAATGAACTTCTCTGGCCTGGCACAGTCGCAGAAGTGCACCAGGTGACAGGAACAGACAATTTTTACTGTCGCATTTTTGCGCCAAGTGACTGCAAAGTGTTAATGAATGCCCATTTTTATTTGGCAAGATCCATATCCTTCTATTGTACCCCTTCCACTCATCTTTTCAAGTCAGAAGGTTAATTTCAGAGGTGGTTGGCAAGACTTAAAACAACAAGATTCAACATAAATAAGTACACCAACCATTCGAGTTTTTGAATTGGACAAATGCACACCAGCAGGGTCTCAAATTCTCGCCATTTTCCAATTTTCCTCCCAAATAGTGTAGAGAAAAATAACTTTTTAAAAATACAAAAATTATATTTTGTTCAGGGTTCTTTCCTCTTTTGCTCTTTTGAAATATGGTAGTTTTTTTACAATGAGGGCAATCAATTAATAATCCTTTGGGAAATCAACAAGGTCCATAGATCAATCGGTGGATTGTCATTCATAGCCCAAATTAGCACAAAGATTTTTTGGGGGGTGGGGTTATTCAAACACAAACTCCTTGGCAAGGAGAAACAGAAATGATTGTATTTTTCTAACCATAAAAGAGGAGAGGTCACACTCTCTATTTTGATAGTAAGAGAAATAATAAGGTAACGAAAGAAGGTAGGGCAACAACCACATGAAAAAACGGAAGCACCAAAATTTTAAAATGTTTTTTCTAAAAGTAAAAGAACAACTCTCATGTAGTATCAATAGACAGGTTTAACTTTGTTCTCATACAGGTGCACATATAGTGAATCTGTGCTTTCCTGGTCAAGTGAAACATTTTGTAGTGAAGCACGCCCCATTCTCCCTTTCCTCCCCTTTTTTGCACCCAAGCTGGTTGACGCAATGTTTGCCCAGTCGGGCCTTTGAGAAGAGCATGTCAATGCTAGATTAAGTAGAATACTTAATAAGGGTGTTTCTTGAGCTGTTTTTTGAACAAAAAGTTAGTATATTTTCACATAATTAACCCCTTGACTGCTAACCATTTACGCACCCTACATGCTAAGGAAAATTCTATCGTGCGCAAGATGTCACAGGTCACGGTCTTTAATCGACGATTGTTCGCTTATTATAAGAGACAGATTGGTAAAACTTATAGGCTACCAGTGGAAATGGAAAGATAAATGATGACAAATTCATCCATTCAGAAAACCTGCATAGAACAAGCCATAACCATGTAAACAACTTGAAAGAACTAAGACTGAACAAGTGCTCCGATTCTATGTGTGGCTGTGTCATGATGTGTGTGAGAAAGACTACACATATCCCTTTATTATAATGGTAACAAAGTTTGCACTTATCATCAAACTACGTATAAGTAGAAAGACAAATGAAGAAATGGTTTTATCCATAGCCAAAACTCAGGCAGAACAAGTAATAATGATGTAAACAAGTGTAAAGAACTGAGACAAGCGTTTCGAGTCGACAGGTCGGGTCTGACCGCCTCGTACGATGTGTGTTACAAAAACAACACATCTCGTTTTGTTTTTGTCTTGTAGATCCCGCCCTTCCTGTCACATATATATATAGGTATGACCTCATAGCTAAAACAATAAGCTTTCATGGGATGCCACTCTCTTTATTCAATACTTAGTAGAAGCTGAAATATCAATGAAACAATACACCGGTTTGAGGCGCAGTATGAGATACGTTTACTCAGCACTGGGCGGCGGATTATCGGTCCATATGAGATCATACATCTACCCAGCAGTAAAGGAGTTAATGAGCCATTTTTTTATCATTATTCAATAATGTTACTTGTAGCCTACATGCCCTTATTAAGGCAATCTTTGGAAGTAAGTGTAGATTTATACTGGTGAGAGCAAGATTATAGAAGTAATGGTGACTTTTCCCTTTTCTATACTTAAAACTATTCATAATATACAGAACAACAGCTGGGCAAAAAGTCTGCATAGTCTTTGAGCAAAAACTAAGATGTCTGAGTAGAACTAATAATTTAAACACATTGAAAGTTACAATAATCACATTTTTCTTAAAGCAAAAACAGCTTCAATTAGACAATGTAAGTAAAATGGGTTAAGAACAGAGTGAAAAACTCTAAACAAAGCAAGAGTCTTATCATAATTATAAATCATAGCAACAATTAATTAATCCATTGAGAGTAGTTTGCATTGCTTCATATGTTATTTAGTGAATATATTATACGTATATAGTGGCGTCCAAAAGAAACTTGAAAATGTAATTACCCAATATCGTATTATAGTCTTGTAGGCCTACTACCCGCTCAGCAGCATTAAATGTGCTCATTGTTATTTTGCTTAGGAACTATTGGTTTTGTTCAGTGCATGAACCCTTGGGGCATGGACTCCTTTGGACATAATTATGTGTCTTTTCATCCCAAATGTCAAAGAGAATTGCAAACAAAGGGTCTGTTTTGGGAGCAAAGTCGCTTTTCTTCAGCTGCTGTTTCATGGGACTTCACATACCTGTGGGATTCATATTGGGGCTATACTTTGAAATACTTCGTTGTGAAGAACGCCCCTACTCCCTTTCCTCCCTCTTTTTGCACCCAAGCTGGCCGACACGGTGTTTGCCTAGTCAGGCCTTTGAGAAGAGCATGTCAATTTATTAAGGTGTCAAATGATGACAGAATGTATTAAACTTTAAATTGATATGCCACATGAGTGGGTAATTCGAGGCTTCAACATGGAGATTGGGTGATTATATTTTCAAGTTTCTTTTGGACGCCACTGTAATATAGAAGAAAATGAAGGCTTGGTTTCATACGCCACTAAGTGAATACTAGTTCATAAAATCAGGACTGCAGAAGCAAAAGACATTAAAAAAATCATACTAATGTCTCTTCTGCCTTTGCACATACTTACTCATTCTTAATTTCGATTTGTATCATAAATGAGGATAATTTAGATTGGATGAGATTTGCCATTAAGCAGGGGCAAGGAAAATGACAGTGAGCATTGTTCTACGAGCTGCTGCCAAATGGAAACAATTCTGTCAAATTTGTCACTGCCTCTACGATTTACGAACTGGTACACTGGAAAATTAACCTGTAAAGCACGTAAGTGTTTTTTAAAACACAATTATACATTTTGGCTTTTCAGAAATACTCTAGATAAGGCATAAGGTTATATAATAAAGTTTAGAAAAATTGAATGAATTTTCAAAATCTTGAAGAGTAAGAAAATTTTTTTGGGTACCAGTAACAGAGCCCAAAAAAGGCAGGAATGGTAACAGTAATTTTAGGATAAGTGGTAGGTCTGTGAGTAACTTAAAAAACATATATACAGTTGTACCTGCTCTACTGGACACTTGTACAAACGGCCACTTTCCATTTCCTCCCTTGCATGCGCATATTTTTTACATTATAATTATAACAGTACAGTGGAAGACCGCCACCTGTCTAATATGGCTTCTTTTCTCCCTTACAATGGGTGGCATTTTAAATATTTGTGTGCATATATTATAGGCTCCTTAAAAAAATATTAAAAATTCACATCAACAGAAAGAAAGAAAGAGAGACAAAGCGGTTTTGGGATAAGGGCTATTCATGACAGGTTGAAGACGTGACTCACAGCTATACTACAAAGACCATCCTAGTGGTGATGGAAAGCAGAGGGAGATAAAACAGAAGAGCAAGAAAAGGAAAAGAACAGGATATGTTAGCAAATCAATGTGAGAAGGAAATGTAACAATGGACAAAACTAATAATAAAAACACATGGGCAAGTAGGAAATCCAGAGATCTGCTGAAATAATTCTTATCATTATGTTTATAGCTTGAAGTTTAAAAGCTAACAACGGTTTCAAGCATAAAATCAGTAAAACCATACAGACCCTATATGAGATTTCTACATTACCAGTAACTAACAAAGCTGGTACCAGTACGTGATAGAAGATATATAATGTCATTTTTCATATCACTGAGAATGTATATTATAAGAACCAACAAAAAATCCTGGAACAATTCCAGTTTCATGGTATCTTCACAGACTGTGATAATTACTATGACAACACACTTTCTCCCGTACAACTGATCTCTTTTGAGTCGAGTGGTTTACTTGATGCTTCAGATCATTGAAAACAATCTAAGTTCTAAATCTACGCTTGAACGCTAGTCCCAGATTTAGTTTCCAACAATGGTACAGTCTCCTCAATTGCATCCAGTTTGCTCATAGAATCTCTGACTTTGACCTTGGCCACCTGAAAACGACTGGCTTTTGGAATAATTAGTTTCTGTGTGAAGCGGCCTGACTCTTGTGATGTTCTGCTACGCAACAGATCTGAGGCGGGGATGTATCTATGGATGGTGAAGTAGTTTGTCTCTTCCACGTTGTTCACACGAGGTTCTGCACTCCTTGACCCTCTTGGCTTCTCTTGAAGCTCCACGTCGTTGTGAGTAGGGCTTGCGCCAGATCGGCCCAGGTTGATGGTGTGGTACGGTCGATCATGATGATCATTATCATCTTCGGGATCATGAAAAAAGGAGGACTGAAAAAACAAACAAGGAACTGGTCAACACAAATACAGAGAAATGAAAAGCAAAAGCTCAGTTGCAGAACAAATTTAAAGATAACAAGTACTACTTTATGACATTGCTTAACCCTTCGAGTCCTAGCCATCGATACGCTGATGGCACGTATCATATGCCTAGCCACGGGCACACCGGTAAACAAGACCCTATCCCAAACCTGGCCCGTCTAGAACAAAATGCGGACGGGAACCCGTGTTTACTACACAGGGTGTCACTGATTATTTTAAAAATCTTTCTGAATTATATTCTGGTAATGACGAGGACTACCCTGAGTGGGTTTCTGACGATCATATTATGAATGTTAGTAATATATATTGCTCAGGAGCTCAAGCAGAGTGGCACGGTAGCCTCAAGGTTGGGGCTCAAAGGGTTAAGGCTGCTTTCTATTTTTTTAAGACAGTGGACTAGATTATAATTATATGAGTACCCATTGTCAAGAAGAAAAGTGTTGTCAAAGACAGGTTGATGTTTTAGGCAGAACTGATGAAAAATGAAAATGAAGAAAACAAACCATTCCCTTCAGAGGGAAAATGTCACGTTTCTTCAGTTCCATTAAATGTATTTTGATGAGCACCTGATTTCATCAGGATGCCACACATGTACAGAGAATGTTAGAACTAGAATGTCATTGATATGTAGTTTATGATGATTAGCACAATACAGCATCACTCCCAGTTCACCAGGCACTGATTAGGACAGTAGCAATACTGTGAAGAAGTAGAAGATACAGAGATGAAAAAGAGGAGACCCACCACCCCATAGACTAGAAATATAATGACAGAATGACAAATACGATCAGGAACTGAATGAGGTTCTTTTTGCACAGTAAAAAAGTATATTACTGTACATATAAATGAAGATACAAGAGATAGAAAACAAGACTTTGCTTGAATGCAAAGAGAACAGAATGAGAGATAAATACATCAAAATTTAATGGAAGGGTAACATAAACATTAAAATGATAATTTTTCTGACATATTGAAAAGAGAAACAAGCTATCTATAACAGCATGGAAATAATACTGTAGTGAGGTCCAAACCATGAGTTTATCGGGATAAGCCAGACAGTCTATATTTGCTATTTCTTCATGATTTTTTTTTCTGGACTCTTAAAATTACTAAAAATGAGACATCATAAATAGCAATAAAAATGCTCATACAGTGTGTCCTTTGTCTCCTTCATTTGATAAACGAGATATTAATGTTTAAAATAATGGAAACTTAATATTTGGCTTTATTATTCATGGGAAGCAATATGTGTCATATTATGGTGAGTATTTGTAAGCTACAAACAAAATACAAGTCACCATTTGTACATGGTTACAAACGATAACAGTTGACTTAAACATGTGATTATACTGCTGTTTGTAGCTGCAAATGAATGTTCACTTTGAAAGAATTCAAGTATCTCTTAGCTTTACAAGGAAGGAGAGCAATTCATCTCTAGTATTGCTCCAGGCATATAACTTACATCTGAAATGCAGAACATACAAAGCAGTCTTTCATTCAGACAGCTTTGAACATTAAAGGACCCTACAATTGCCTGAGAAGTTGAATGTTAGACATGGTCAAATTTTCTCTTTTTCAAAGTCTACTTAGAAATTATTCCAAAAGGGAAAGAACATCCATGTTTAGTAGAGTTGGTATTTTACACTCCACTCTATGAAAATATACAAAGACTCCTTTAGGCCAGAAAAAGTATAGATCTACTGTTCATTTGTTCTTGATATGAAGGAACAAGCAAGGAGTAAAAATAAAATATATTCTATGTACCTCTATGTTCAGGCTGTTTCTGAAACTGGCCTGTGAAGCAGTGAAGCAAGTTGAAAAAGCTATGGACGGAGACTGATCACATCCCCCACTCCGGAGCATATCAATCATAAAACGAATACACCAGAAACATCAAAGTGACATTTCCAAAGCAAGCTTTTTCTCTCTCTCCTCATATTGTCATCACAATTAAACTAAATAACATGAATATAATAATACAAATGTGTCACGACGTAGTGGAATCAGGCTTTCGTCACTTTTTGGGCATGTAGAGTTATTGAATTGGTATCATCTTAAAGCTTGTGCATTTATCTTCTTTGGATGGAAAAAAAATCCATTTATCTTGAATACAAATTGAAATATTTGCAAATGAAGGAGGTGGGGGTCACCTGGTTTCAGAAGTATAAATTAGTGAGAAAATGGCCACTAGAGTTTAGCTATTTCCTTTGCTTGACAGTCCATGAAAACTGTAAATTTCCATTTTTCGTGCCCTTAATCAAAGTTTTTCATTAAAATACACCACAGAAATGTATGATTTAATGAGCATGAAAAGTGTTGAGCCAAAAAAAAAAAAAAAATCCAATAAAAATTCACAAACCTGCAAAACGTTTCTTCACTTTGATGGTTTTGACGAGTGCCTGATTTCACCATGCTGCCTCACAAATATATCAATATGCCTAAGTATAACATGCCACTGTGAGATACATTTTGCTGAATAGTACAAAAACCAGTGGAATGAAAAGCCATAAAAAAAAAATAACCATTCATACACACACATAAACGCACAGCAAAACATGTGCAAACTTGAGGAAAAAATTAAAAATACACACAAGTAAACCAAAAACTATTCTATCATGTCAAAGACAGGACAAAACTTTAAAAACTGTTAGCAAAAACTAGTACTGAAGAGTTCGGGGGGAGGAATTAATACTGAATAGTTTGCAGTTAAGTGAAGAGGAGGAGAGACATTGGAGGGGGGAGGGAAATTAAATAACAGACATTACATTGAAGAACGCAGGTCAATCGGCATACTGTACAAGTCATATTTAGAGGTTGTTGTTGAGGTGCAGTTTATACAGCATTAAAAAAAGCCAAATTTTGCACGGAATTTTTAAAAACATTAGTTATATTGAAACGAAGATTTCCACCCACCCTCCAAAACAAAACAAAAGGCAAACAAATGTAAAACAAAATACAACAAATCCAAATAAAATTGAAAAAAAAAAAAAGAAACGCACTAAACAACTAAAAATGCTCACCAGCCACCTATACAGCACACAGCAAAAAGAAAATGGCATCGGAATAAGTTTTTGTCAGAATGAGGGAGGAAGGCGTGGGATTTGAGCATTCTGGGACAGTCAAGGTACACCTACTCTAATTTGGAAGCTTCTGTGTCTGGCAATTTTATATGAGCATGCATCGTGTGAGTTGGATGTTGTAAAGAAAGGATAATGCGACTTCGCTCACTGCACACAATGTGCCTCTATTTTCAAACCAGTTAGAAGACAAAAAATAAAGGTATTGTTCACACACAATACTTACTGGACGTGATAGTCTGTCCTAAAAATTACATCCATATTTATTCAAACTTGATTGTCAACAGCATTCAGACCATGACACTTCAAAACGTGAACGGGGGAGGCAGGCATTTGACAAGTCAAATTTAAAACAAGTGTCTGCCCATGTCCCTTGTTTTTTTAGCAACCCACACATGAATAAAGGCTAGTCTCTTTGACAATCCACATGTATGTTTTATTTTGTTTTGATATCTGTCTTTGATAGCACTCTGAATGAAACAGTAAAATACAGTGACTGTTCTTGTATGGTGTCAGTTGATAACTCATCAGCACAGGAAAGTGTTTATGTGTCCTTGGGGTAGTTAAATGTGATGAACTCTAGAGTTGATGACCTTTTCTCCATGTCAGTTTGTAAGTCTTACATCAGTAAAGGGGCATTCAATGAGTATTCACCCTGACTTTCAGCAGAATTGCCTTTCAACAATTAAACTTGAATCATGTGTTCTCTATCTTTTTGGAACACTGCATGTGGAATTTTGGGAAAATCCAGTGAGCAGTGAAAACTTGAGAGCATTTTTAGTGGATGTGGTTCTTGAATACTTAAAAAATAACGCCTCTTGCTCCACAACATGCTCCACCTCACAGAAAAGTTGACGGCAGTTCAGATGGAAACACAGAGTGGCTAAGAAATTCTCCCACACCCACCCTATTCACAGGATGTAGCACCCTCTGAGTTTATACTTTTCCCAAATCTGAAAAAGCTCATAACGAACAGCATGTCCATAGAGCTGAAGGTGCTATATCTGCAGAGGAGGAATGGTTTGAATCCCATCCAAAGCTCAAGAACCTTTGAAGGTCAAAAGAAAATAGTGAAATTGTGTAAATTTCCAGGGTGTCTATGTAGAGAAATAGTATGGCAAGAGTCAAATTTTAATTGCTTTTAATAGCTTGCTTTGATCACAGTGATGGTAAAGACATTGAATGCCCCTCATAGTACAAATTTTAAAAAAATGACCCCTTCCCATAACAGTACTGAAATGACAGGAGTGATGGCTTTTCAGTCATTCCAACTGCTCGGCATACTGTCTATCCATGCCTTCTGCTCTGCTCTCGTGGCCTAGAGGTTAAGTTGTTCGCCTCTCATTCAAAGGTCCTGGGTTCGAATCCGGGTAGCAACCGACAAAATTTCTTCTCTAAAATTGTCTCGCTCCTTTCACCTTCTTTCATTCTCTCTTGCAATATTCTGTCGTCTGCTTTTGTGACTCCTTCCTTACTGCTGTCCTTCAGCCACAACCCTGATCTTCGGGTAGGAAAGATCTACACCTAGCCATCTCAGAAAAGGGCGAAAAATCTCGGAGGACCCGTGTGCAAGTTGCCCACGTTAAAGATCTCTGGGTGGTCCAAAATCGATAGGAGTAGGCTTCGGTCGCCACCCGTGCAAAATTCAATATATCCTACCAATTGAAAATGTTTGGTGTGTCCTGCACGCTCATATGACTTTATGCAGTTGCAAGTGCTGTAAAACACTCCCCCCCCCCCAAAAAAAAAGAAGAAAAAAGTCTTTTGAATTTGAAACCTGCGTCATGATTTTGATGAGCCACAATTAAAAAAAGAAAGGTTTATTGGCCCTTTTAACACTGTAAGGTTACTTAAGAGGCGAGACTTCTGAATTCAATGTCCATCTCCGGTTGGGCCAAGCCAAAAGGGTGGGGAGCCTTAAAAACCCCCCAAAACAACCAAAGTTTACAACCCTTGTCAGGGATTTGAGCCAGGGCCATCCAGCATGATACCAACTGAGCTGATGGTACACTCATTCTTGAGTAATTATCAATTTATATAATGAAGTGAACAAATAACATAAAAAACTAATAACAATGTTTTTGTATTAACTTTGTTGAGAGAGATGGGTAAATTTTGGACTGAGAAAATGGTGAATAACATTTCCACACACAGTATCAGTTGAATCACAAATGCCAAAGATGCTCAATAAACTTCTCTCGCACTGCACATTTACATTTTTTCCTGCAATGCTTTAATATTTTCGCTAGGGGCACAACGTTGTGTCCTTGAATAAGGCACTTTACTCGAACTTTCCTCACTTCAACTAGTGCTGTTATAGAAAACGAAATGTCTTGTCAGTGTTTGAGCGCTTAACCAGTTGATTACACTGTATGCTTACAGGGAAGCTGAGAATGCTTATATGAATGTTCCAGGGTCTGCTGGGGTAATACTAGTTGTATGACATAAAGAGCATGCCATAGAGCATGGATATGCGCTTTATAACTGATGCTCCAGTCTATTAAAAAGAAACCTAAAAGTTGCATGGTGAAATTGAACACTTAAATTCGTGTTGCTGGCAATACACACACACACAGCTCAAACAAACACTAAGAGTAGGAAAAGATTCAACAAATGTATATGTACATACACACACATCAACAATCACACACACATTTCTTTATCAAAAGAAGAACATTAAAAAAAATTCAGTTTAGAATGCAATCCAGTCCAACATATATGAATTGAGTTGACATTACCTGTACACTGATTGAGTCCCATCAAACACTGTTTTTAGAACTGGTTCAATTCCTGATTGCTCACACAGAAATCGCTGCTTCCATTACAAGTATAAGCCAACGGGTCTTGCTTATGCGATCCACACCAGTTGACATACAAGCACATTTTAAAAGTATCAGAACAAATTTGGATACAGAAAGTGTTCAAACTCGTGATAATGAGAGAACAAATCCTCAGCCCCCCAAAAAACAAAAACAAAAAAACTTACCCATCTGTTCCATTTGCCTGGCAACTGTTCACGTAAAGCTTGAACTACAGGACTTTCTTCCATGTCCTGGGGACAGAAACAGAAGTCAAACTGTATAAATAGGGGGCTCACGTGTTCGAGAGGTACAGTATTCACCTTTCATTTGAGCATCCTTTTTATCCTAGTTACTCCTTTGATTTTGGAATGCTAGATATTAGGACAAATGGGGTCAGAGTAATGACTTAGCAGGAGCTGCAACCTGCCTCTGATTTACCATTTTTACTTTTTCCAGACGTATATCCAATAGATGGGTGATAAAGCCTGTCACAGTTACATGCAGCATCCTGTAAATTATAATAGTAATAATATAGATCATTTCATAGATTCACACTCTCTGGCCGCTGTGACAGCTTCACAATTTACAAAATTACAACGACAAAAAAACTAACAGTTAACGCAATCACACGTGTCATGCATACTGACCGATTCAACATACGACAATTCTTCCTAATTTTACACATTTTCACCAGTAATTCTTGTTTTCACGCATCGATTATTGCAATGCTTTACTTGCTAACATACCGAATACCACTCTTTAAAAGTTATAATGTTTTCAAAATCATGCTGCTAGGCTTGTACTAAAGAAAAAGAAGAGGGATCACATTACTCCCAAGTTAAGACATTGGCTCCCCGTGTCAGCTAGAATGTTATATAAAATTACAATATTAATATCATGTCATAAATGTGTCAATAACAAAGCTCCCTCATCATATCTTAGTCATCTCATCCAGATTCATCTTCCATCTAAATCATTAAGATCAGGCGATCAGTATCTTTTAAGAGTTGCTAGAAAAGGAGGTAAAAATTAGCTGAAAGATCATTTGCCCACATTGCTCCATTAGATTGGAACTCTCTTCCCCAATCCTAGAGTCTTACAACATCTGAGTCTAAATTTAAAATATCTTTAAAGACACATTTAAAGACATAATTTTTCTATCAGTAGATTCATGTTCAGTATAATGTTATGTAAATGACTATGCATCCATTTATGTACTTTGCTAATTGCATTGTGTATATTATTTTATTATGTATTTGTATGTGTCCATTTCGTAACAACGTGTAAGCGTGCGCGTGTGATAAGCAAGTAGATGTGTGTGTGTGTGGGTGTGTGTGTGTGTGAGTGTGTGTGTGTGTGTGTGTGTGTGTGTGTGTGTGTGTATGTGTGTGCATGTGTTTGACTTGCATGTGTGTGCACATGTGTGCGTGAGTGTGTGTGTGTGTATGCATGCGTGCGTGTGTGTGTGAATATTGTTCGTACATACATTTCTGTAAAGCGCCTAGAACTATGTTCACATGGGAGTGGCCGCTATAAAAATGATCTACATTATTATTATTATTATTATTATTATTATTATTATTATTATTAAGAAAACACGTACAAAAAAGGCAATCACTGAGGCTACTGATTACAATTGTCGTTGGAAGAAGAATCAAACTAGTTAGTAAAACAGGATTTAAATAGATGTGTTTTTAGACCACTTAAATGCGGTCAAAGTAGGTGCATCTCTTAACCCTATCCGTACGTCGTGTTTTATTATCATATCCATATCTATCTATCCGGGAACTCTGTGCCACATCTTTCCAAAAAAGGAAATTTACTCGTTAATCCGATTGGTACGCTTTGCATAGCAGTCTGTCAAAATGACTTTTTGAGAAATACTGAAAGTTTCAAAGAGATCTTCGTACTAGAAGTATTCTAAAATGTGAAGAATACAACCCGGGGGGTGCAAAATGACCCCAGGGCATACGGATAGGGTTAAATGCAGTGGGAGAGGAATCCATACTGAGGAAGCAGGTGTTGAAAAAACCATTCCTCCAAATTTCAAAATTTTCAAAGACAGCATTAAATTGTCCTTTGTTAATGCACTGTCAAACTTTGAGATGGTTTATATACTCCTGTAGTAAATTTGAGAGATTTCGTGATGCCTTATCAGTTAAACACTTTCAGTACATTACTGCAACTTTGTAATCAATAGGGGCTTTAACAGGGAGCCATGTATCTGTAAAAGCGATAGTGCTGTAACTTCTCATATAGGCATTTTGAGAATAACTCATGCACCTTTGGTCTCAAGTCTTTGTAGTTTTTTCATTAATGCTGTTGGTAGGTGTGTAAGGAGTGAGTTGCAATAGTCTATATGAGATAATACAAATGATGACATTAGTATCTTAAGAGAAGTCTTGCTTAATTTCATCAAATTAATTCACAAAAGATTTGGGTAGCACTAAATTATTTCGGTCTTATCTTTGTTTATCTTCCCTCTGTCGGATGTCATCCAAGTCTTGTCATGTTTTGAAATAATAAAAATGCATGTTGCCTGGCTCTGAAGATATGTACAAGTGGGTGTCATCTACGTACATGTCATAGGAACTATTGTGACTTCTTATAATGGAATTCCCAGCAAATTAAGTTTTCAAAAAATAAAATGTTATGTGTCAGTGAGTGAAAGAAGGGTATGTTGAAGATTGTAGATGTAACTGACCTCCATGATCTTGAAGAGCTCAGCTTTGTCCTCAGACTCCTCATGCTCGCAGCCAACCTGCAACTTGATTTTCTGGACATAAAGGAACATAAAAGTGTTTTCATCTTTGCATAAATGCTTTTGTAGCGGGTGTCTACAAAAAAAGAGAACCCATAAGAGGGCAATAAATTGGTCATCTCTTTATCGTTTTTGATAAAACTTCGAACAAATAAAATTCAACAAAGAGAATGTAAAATTTGTAGATATGGAGAAAATTAATCTACTTGCTTGGAAAACATCAAGTTTTAAAAACCTCAATCAAAACTGAGTACAACACAAATTTCGCTTTTAGGAAATTAAGGGGGTGTGATCAGCTCGTTCTGGTCTCAGGACAAGGATGGTAAAACCATGACGCACCACATGAGATGGATATCTCACCGCCCAGAGGAAGTTTTTGGAAAAAGTGTTTTAGGGGAAGCCGTTATGCTGTTGGCTGGGCAGCCCTGGTTCTAGCATGGTTGTGTCCCTTGATTGGTTGCAAGAAAAGTTTGGGAACGCCTTATATATAAGCTGAAATTGAAACCTTACAAATGAATGGCCGCTTCTTTCCATTGACTTAAAACACCTTGATAACTTCCTATAGGGTTTTGTGACCAACACAGTCTTTGGAAACAACCCTAAATTAAAAGTGGGAGAGTCCGCGATCTGTGAATGTGGACACAACCAAGAGAATGCCAACCATATCCTTCAGCACTGCCTGTGCTACGCCACCCTTCGTACACAGATGTGGCAGAATGTGACTCCCCTTGAGAGAAAGCTCTATGGCAGTCTCTTAGATTTGAAGCAGACTGCTCAGTTTGAGCGCGACATCAGACTGACAGTCGAGCTGCTGTCATCGAGAACGAGGAAGGAGGAAACAACCCACAAACAAACAAACTCTTGAAACCCAATGTTAAAAAGGAAGTGTGCAAAAAATCGACCAAGAAACATACCGCAGGGTTATTCAAAATTTCCAGCAGCATATTCCAGCTTGTTTCAAGAGCAACAATCAACACCTGGAGCATACCATTTAAATAGCCACCATCTTCCCTGAGTTTATTTGGTAATGTCTACTTTACACAAATTTGTTCTTAAAAGCACAAATATGTATTAAGTTGATTTTCAAGAGGTTGAAAAATGTTGTGTTTTATTCAGTCTAACTGAAATTTAATGTAAAAAAACTGGATTATTCTTAAAAAAATGCAGATCCAGTTTCTTCATATTGACAGATTTGATGTTCCACTCCTTGAATTCTATGTGTTCTAAGTTTTGACGAAATTGGTACACATATGACCAAGTTATTACCCTTTAAGTGGGTCATCTATTTTTTAGACATGCAGTTTATACATATATTAAATGCACCAATCACAGATAAGGGCCTGATAGTAGAAATAGAGACATTTTATGAAGACATTGAAAAATCAATGAAACAGCTTAAATCACAAAATATTGCAGTAGTAAAGGGAGACTTCAATGAAAGAGTGGGAGAGGAAAGAATACAGAACACAGTCGAGCCATTAGGAAATTAGGAATTGGTGATATCAAAGAAAGAAGCAAGAAACTTGTAGAATGGTGCAAAGAACGCAAACTTGCAGTGATGAACACTAGGTTCAAGAACCATTGATGAAGATGCTGGAAGTGGAAGAGTCCGGAGGACAAGGTAAGAAATCCAATAGACTACATTCTTATTAAAGAACGCTTTAAAAGCTCAATAACATCATGTTAGTCAATGCCAGGGGCAGATTGTGGAAAAGATCACATACCAGTTGTGGCAAGTATAAAAGTCAAACTAAAGAAAAGCCAAAGACCACCAAAATTACAGCTATACCTTCTGAGTACTGACAAAGAAATGAAGACAAAATTTACTGTAGAAGTCAAGAGCAAGTTTGAGGGTTGTTTTGCACACATTTGTTTGTTTGTTTGTTTGAATAAAGAATATTACATCAACATAATAATGGTCATTTAGTGCTTGGAAAAAGTAAGACAAACAAACAGAAACAAAAGAGGGAAAGAAAAAAGAAGGACCTACCATAGGCACCCTCCAACCACCCTTGGTCTCATGGAGGAAAGAAGAAAACACAAAAAAATGTAGAAAAGAAATACATGGTAATACAGAAGTCTCCGCCAAAGTTCCCACCGCTCATGGTCCCGGTTCGTCTTCGATCCTGCTGTTTTTGGAAAAACATAATTTTTACTATGTAAAAGTCACCCCTAAGATCTCGCACTGAAGGAGCTACATTCGGCTAAGATCCCGCTTTTAAGGTAATAATTTTTTTCTTTTTTCTTTAATAAGAAAAAAAAAAAGAATAAGAAACCTTGGCGCGCTCAGCTGATCAACCAAGTAGCGAAAATGTGCGATCATTGTTCGGTCCGTCGCGTCATGGATCATTTCACTCTCAAGAATGCGATCACACCTCTGTTGTAAACCTCGGTAAGCGGTTACAATGTTTACCCCAGACGGATTCGCACCAAAGTGTGAGCTCGTTGATGCGTTGCTTTCCCCAATCACCCGAGCCGGTGTGGTCACAACACAATGATTTATGAAGTGTCATGACATGGGCGGGGAACTCCGTTAGAGATGGAAAACATTACATTTGGGGGGGGGGGGGGGGCATTGCTTGGAGCCAACTGGCTCCCACCTGACACAGTATTGTTAAAAAAGCCCCACTCCCGCCCCCCCCCCCCCAAAAAAAAAGAGGAAAAACTGACTTCTGAAAAGAACTTTTAGTGCCCAGGAGTCACGTCAGTTCATTTAAAGTAAGGGAAGAAGGGAAGATCATTGTACAGATTATGGGCCTGACCCTGAGTTACTGTGGATTCTTCCCCTGGCCCTTTGGCTAGGATCCCGGTTCGTCTAAGATCCCGGTCCGTCTAAGATCCCGCATTTTCGTTGCTCTCGAGCACCGGGATCTTAGGCGGAGACTACTGTAGACCAATAGGTGAAAAAGAAATGGAACCAAGCCAAAAATACATGTATAGATTCTCAAGGTGAAGAAATAGATAATAGCAAGACCAAAGACAAAAAATTCATCAAATGCAACTTGGATTAGTTTTGGATAAAGGTACCCTAAATGCCAACTTCACTCTAAATATGCTCACAGACAGAGAGGGAAACAAATAGAAAGGTGCTCCTAATGGAAGGTTGTGAAAAAACTATAATCAGAACCATCAGATAAAGACAATTGAGATTCCTTGGCCACATAAATGGAGCAAATGGACAAGAGAGACTGCTGCAAAGTGGACAAATAGAAGAGCAGAGGAAGACAAAGAACAACATACATAAATGGCATAAACAACTTTGCAACAAATTATACAATGAGAAAAACTGGGCTGATCAAGAAGACAGACAACAGGAAGGAGTGGGGTACAATGATTGTCAATGTCTGCTCCAGAGTTGACATTTGAAGAAAAAGATAGCCTTTGTGATGTAGCCTACTTGTACTGACTTCTCAGTCCGTGTGTGTGTGGGCGCCAAACAAGTTTGTTACTGTAAATGTGGTATGCCCACATTGACACAATTAAGATGATTAAGGAAGCTGGCTGCATACATGTAAATGTGATAGACAAAACTACAAAGGTTCTTCTTATTGTTGTAATAGACATTAAAGCAACTGAACACATACATCACTAGTACTGGTACACAAATCAATGTAGACACAAGTACATACTTTACAGTTCTGAAGAACAAAGTGAAGAAAGGCATTTTCAGATACCAAACAGTTACATTGAGAAGCCTGAAAGTAATTTTGTAAGGAATTACACCAAGGAGATCTAAAGAATAATAAAGAACTACCTAACACGTTTGATACCTGATATTCCTCAAGGATTTTCTTGCCCATTATGACCGAGGTCTGACCCTTAGCAGTCTGATATGATTGGCGTGCTACCTGAAAGCAAACAAGAACAAAAGAAAATACAGAGAGCTTATGGAACTTTAAAAAAAAAGCACGCACGCCTTGGAAATAGGGGGCATAAATTCACATTCATTGCGACCATGGGGGCGTATAAACACCTGCATTTACATTTCAAACATATTCCTTAGAACCACATTGAGGAGCAGTTAAGACCATCTAAGCATCTAAAAATTCTGTGACAAAACAAAAGGGCGCCATAAAACAATTGGTGCCATTCTCAAACCACATTTCTGTATTCTTTAATAAAAGTACTTTCATGGATAACGAATGTTTCCCTGTCTATTCTTTTATCCCTCGTGAAATAGAAAGACATAAAACTAAAAGGTAAAAAGTACTCATATTAAAACACACAACAGATTATAGCAGTCGTGAATACAGTAGGACTAGCACCAACCTTTAGGTCTTTGCCAAAGAAATCTTTCTCTGGACCCTGAGATGTCTGAGTGGAAGGGGCGGTCACTTCCTTGATCTGAATAAGAAAGTGTTGAGTACATACTTAAAGGTTACAATTTGAAAAGCCAGGTCATTAGCAATCAAGGATGATTACAGCATCAAAGAAAATATCTCCAACTCCCATGGATACAATGGGTAAAAATAAACAAGGGGAACTGAGGTTCCAGATTTGGCACCCTTCAAGCCATGCGAAGTCTCTTTGCTTAACACTTTATAAAATACCATGGGAATTTGATTCAGGAGATCATAAGTACTACCAATTTTAGCTGACATAAAATTTTTAAAACCCTCCAAAACAACAGAACAACTAGACTGAAACATCTAGAAACCAGATCAAAATTCAGACAATAAGAGAAAAAAAAAGTCCACCTGACATTTTCTGAACTTTAAAATGAGAAATTACCTCGAGGACAGCGGACAAAACTCTGTAGAAAATACCATGGATATTTACATAAGGAGAAAAAAAATTCAGACGACTAATTCAGAATTCACACAAAAATGTAGAGAATTTCCTTTCACGACCTCCTGACCTTGAGGACAAGGATGCCCATGATGATGATACAGAGGATGTTGAGTACGGTGAGCAACAGACTGACCACACCCAGGATCAGGTTCTCCACTCCCATGTCACAGCTGTACTGATTTATATAGTCATTGTTCACGAGCTCTCTGCACCCAGAGCCCCCAACAGGCACAAGCGTGGCTGATGTTGCATTGGCCGTTGAGTTTGTTGGCACCAATCTCATTTGCCCCTTAGATAAGAAGAGAAATAATGATGTTAGTTTTTTTAGTTTTAGTAGAGGTTTTACGGCGCTCCCAACTGCATAAGGTCATACGAGCGCCAGAGGATTAGAGCTGTTACAAGAGAGTAACAAACATAAAAAAGAAGAAGGGGAGATAAGGACGATAGATGTTTGATAGGAAAGAAGAAGCAAAACCACACCAGAGCACCTGCCAACCACCCACAGAAATAATGATAATTGACAACCATTTACATTTTAAATAGAGAAAGTAATTGGTAAATCATTAATAGAATGTAGACAGGTAAGGCTGAAATCTTTCATTTGAAATTTCCATACTTTTAACTATTCATGAGGCAAATCCAAACACATCAAATTAGACTGCAACTTCAGAGAGGACAAGCAATTTGAGCAAACCATACTGATGTGCCTTCCAATAACCTGCAGCATCTAAATGATAAGAAGCATGAGCCGGATAGACTTAATCGAATCATTTCAAAATCCACAATGATAAAAGTGCTGATTATAATAATAAATAATAATAATAATTAATAATAATAAATATAATTGTATATTAATAAAACCAACTCTAAATTACTTTAATCTAAAGGCTCCGAAAGAGAAAGCCATTAAAAAAATTCAGATAGTACAAAAAAAACCTCCCAAGCAATCTAGATCATCTGCAGTAATGTAGCATACAGTAACGCATTTTTTTGTGTGTGTGTGTGCTTTTTTCACTAATCGTATAATAATAATAATAATAGATAGCATTTGTATAGCGCATATCCCCGCTCAACAGCAGGCTCTATGCGCTTTACACTATATTATTACCCCAACAGACCATAGAACACTCCGAAACATTCTCAGCTTCCCGGGAAGCATACAGTGCAAGCAGCCGATTAAGCGCTCAAACACTAACAAACTGACAAGATCTTTCGCTGTCTATAGCCGGGTACCCATTCCCACCTGGGTGAAGTGAGGAAAATTCGTGTAAAGTGCCTTTCCCAAGGACGGGATTCGAACCCACGACCTTACGGTTGCCAGTCCGAGAGCCTAACCACTAGGCCACCGACGTATAATGCAGAACGCGGATCCAGAAACTTTTTGCCCAGGAAGAGACACTAATGAATGGAACAATCCACTTTCCCTGCACCCCACTTCATGACTGCTGATCATGTTCTTGGTATGCCCAGGCTGAGAGCTGAAATTTGTCTTAATATCCGCTTTGTTGCATCTAATATCTTTTTTCCCTGCCGTTAAGGGGAGGAGCGACCCCTGATTTTGCAGATTTTGAGTCAGACTATGCAAATTTTATGTTGGCTGATTTTTGAAGATCAACTAGTTTTTTGTCTAAAAATAGCATGGAGACAATTGAGAAAGTCTTTATTCTCCTGGTAAATTGACTTTGAAAACATGAGGGTGGGTTAATATAGTGATTTTTCACAATTATTGTTGTTTTTCGCAAAATGTAATTTTTTTGCAGTTTTTTCCCTACTCCTTCCTTAGTTTTCATTCTTTTGACATGAAACTTTCAGGTAACATAGATGGCGAGGCTACCATCAATGTAACAGAGAGATATTTGCGAAAAAAATAACACTTTTCAATTGGCAAGCGATTACGCAACCTAAACTTAGAAAAATCTTTTTCCACTTTGGGAAAATTATCTTTTTTTTTCCTTTTGCACTTATTGAAAAAAACTTGCAGTTACTCTGATAGGGTCTGATTCAGGTATACTCTCACCAAATTTGGTCAGTAAATAAGAAAGCCTTAGGGATTTGAAATTCACTGTTTATTTTCAAGATGGCAGCTATTGCCATAGCAACCGCTGTAGCCATGCCAAAATAAAACTGCGTATCAAGATATTTTAATATGTTTAACTTATATGTGTAAAGTGTACTTAGATTTGAACTCGGGCAACAAACATAGAAAATGGTCCCCAAGGGTAGCTCCTCCCTTTAAGGGTTATTCTTGTCTTGAACTTGAGAGGATAGACTGAACAGATAAAGGTACAGAGACTAATTGAAAAGAGTGGATCAGAAAGATCGACAGAGAGAAAGAGACATTTTCAAATAAATCTAATACAATACAAAGGAAAATATCTATATACAGTCTGCAATCTCTTCAATGCTAATTAGATATTGCCAAGTTTGTAGAACTGAAATTTTCCAAGTAACAAAAACAACAACAACAGCAATAATATTAATAATAACGATAATAACAAAAAACAACAGCAAACAGTAATAAACAGTTTTTGTTGTACCCGCGAACCACCATGTGGACCCATGGCACTTGACATAAGACTCACAGCAGATAATCACTTGCATGGACATAAAAACTTATATCCAGAAGGTATAATTTTGTCTAGTGGCACAAGTAATGCCTGCCTTTCCTTTTTGATTTGTTCTTTTCCATTCATGACCTTAGAGCCTTCAAAACATTTCTTATGTCTTTAAACGAAAGTTTTACTTGACTTGGTACAACTGATTTATAAATTTGTGAGTCATTAGCACACACAAGGAAATGCATGGTGATATGTGAGATTTTCTGCACGGTTCTAGAGAGGACACATTAGACTGAACATCATCAATAATTACAAGAGAAGATTTACACACTCAAACAATACTGAAACCAGTCAAGTACAATGCCATAATATGTGGTCATGTGGAGTTAATGGAATCAATTGAAAGCCTTTTTATTTGCCTTGCTTTCGATAAAAAACCCCCACATCTATGTCGAATAGAAGTCAATATATTTGCGATTGAAAGAGGAAGGGTCTCCTTATTTCAGTAGTAAAATTAGCGAGAAAATAGCTGTCAAAGATGGTAACTTCAATAGCTTGGAGGTCACTCAAACTTTAAAAAATTACATATTATATTTCGAGCCTTTAATCAACGTTTCTCAGTAAAAGTCACATGAAGAAGTGTTTTTATAAGGACATAACAGGTGCTGTGCCAAAAAAGCAAAAATGCTATAAATATTGCCAAACTGGAGGAAAAATACCCGTTTCTTCGATTTCATTATTTTGAAGAGCGCTTGATTTCACTATGATGCCTCACATATGACTTCAATCAAGCTGAGAGTTTTTCTACCAAGAAGATATGATCAGAGGAGACGCCATTTGAATGATCTGATTTTTTATGAGCTGGCAGAATACAGTAGCATAGGAAATATGTTGAACCTTGAAACTTAAGTCTTCACACACTTAACCGTTAACACACAACAGTAGACCTACCCTGTGCACTGTAAGTGGTGGTGAGATAGACACAACAATGGCATTGGCCCACAGCAAACCCTACGGTAAAATAGAGAGAACAATAAACACGGTTAATGAGTTCACTTTTCCCAGTATATAGTCTTTTCGCATAAATACAGGAAAAAACCCGGAAATCATTAAATCATGTTATTTATATATTTTTATAACAGTCATGAATCAAACCTGTCAAGCAGTATCGGAAACTGATTCCTTGGATGATAGAATTACATGCTGATCCACTGTTCACAGTAAATTTTGAGTACAAGCCTTCAGATCTAAGATTTTCAAAAGATAGATAGTTACTCTCCTCTCCTTCATTAACACTTTCCACCCACGCAGCGTGCAGAGCGTGCAGAGCGTGCAGCACTAATCCCCACGGGCCAGGATACAGGTGCAGTACACGCTATATCACATCTGTGCTGATCGGCGTCCCGAGGAGAAAAGGGACGGCTTCTTACCGTCGCCGATCGGCGTCCTGTGGGGGGCAAAGTGTTAAAAAGGGCACAAAAGTGAAGTTGACAAAGCAAAAGAGTTTACGGATCATCTCCAACCCAACCCCCGTCTCCCAGAAGTCGGGTTTATGTTCCCTGATCAGCATATTTTGGCATCCTCCTCTTCCGTCTGGTCCAGGATCTGTGCGGCCCCGGCTCAGCGTATGTGCACTGAACGCTCTCCATGTGATGGGCGGGTCCCGTATTCTCTCAGCTCAATGTGTTTGTGTGTCAGTCTTGCTTGGGTTTGTGTGAATTTGTGGCCTGCTTCTAGACCCGTCTGTGTTGGTTTGAAACCGAAGCGTACGTCTCATTCAACCCACGCCAAGTTGGAAGCTCTAGATATTCGTCTAATGACATTTTAATAAACTGACCCACATAGACATGAGGAACTCGAAAGAATAACCATGAAACAAGATTTCCATTTTTTTATACAAAATCTTTCACATGAGCTTGATTTGACATAAAATGATATTACCTGATAAAAATAAGCTTATTTGATAGTTTTGAAAATCATTGAGCAAGTGAAAAGAGAAATTTGAGAGCAAAACATTCAGAAATTGATCTATATTATTTACTTTCGAATCTCAGATCATTCGTAACAACAAAAGCGTCTAAAAGGTTATTCAAACAGGCGTAACTACTCATGATGACTTATCAACTTACGGGAGGGGGTTATTTATGTGTTGGTAACACTTTATAAATAGAAAGCTATAATAGATAGAGTTTTATTTCATCATCAATTAACACACCCCCATGGTATTCACGACGAAAACACACGTTTCCAGGGCCACTTGCTGTACACTACAGTACATGCTCTGACCGCTGGGTGACCCTGGCGACCCGCCGAGAATGCTGGCGGTAAGAAGTTGGGTCTTATCAGTAGATAAGACACACTCTCAGCACAGTAGCAGAAGAGGAGTTAAGTTACAAACTTCTGAATTTAAACTTCCATTTCCATTCTAATTCAAAGAAAATACTTATCGAAAAATAACTTAGTTGTAAGAAGGAAATATGCCTGATGCAGTCTGAAAACTATCATTTCCCATTCCAATTAAATGTAAGCCAACTTTCTTTCCATGTGACACTATATGGCGCATAATGATCATGCCAGAAAAGAGCCTTATATCTTAAGAATAGGTACCTAGTTGTAGAATTGTCTTTAACCCTCGTCCTGCGGAAGCCGGGCTAATGTAGCCCGATAAGCCTATTTCGGCACCCCGCCTACGTTCTGGTCCCAAATCAGTGTAGCCCTGGCTCAGCGCACGTGCAGCGTGCATCATCTTACGTGTCATTCGGGTCCCGAGTCGGATCCCCATTCACGCAGGTCAAGTGTGTGTGCATCAGTCTGCTTGAGTTTGTGTGCGTTTGTGGCCTTCTTCTAGAACCGCCTGCTTTCGTTCGTAATCGAGGCATACGTCTCATTCAAAACATGCCAAATTGGTAGCTCTAGATGTTCGTTCAATGAAATTATAGAAGAAATTGACCCACTTAGCCTTGAGGAGCTTGAAAGGATAGTCAGGAAACAAGACTTCCATTTTTCTATACAAAATCTTTCAAATGAGCTTGATTTTGTATGAAATGATACTACCTGATAAAAAATAAGCTTGTTTGATAGTTTTGAATAAAATTGTGCAGGTACAAAGAACAATTTGAGTGTAAAACATTCGGAAATTGACCTATATTATCCCCTTTCGAACCTCAGGTCATTCATAACAACAAGAGCGTCCAGAAAGGTTATTCGAATGGGCGTAACTACTCGTAATGTCTTATCAGCTTCTACTCGTAATGTCTTATCAGCTTGTGAGAGGGGGTTATTCATGTGTTTGTAACACTTTATTTATAGAAAGCTATGAAAGATAGAGCGTGATTTTCATCATCGTTCACACACTCCCGCGGTATTCATGGCGAAAACACACGTTTCCCGGCGCGTGCGCTGTACGCCAAAAGTACACAATGAGTGACCCCGGCGGCCTGCCCGGCACGTCCGACGTAATCGGTTGTTGATAAGATTCGCATCTCGGCACAGACGCAGCACAAGAGTTAACCCTGAGCCAGCTTAAAAATGGACACATTGCATCAGGAAAATGGTACAAATATAACAAAGCTGAAAAAGAAGCAGAAGGAGCAGACCACAATGGAGAGTCCACTCAGCACCTGCATTAGATCAGACAAAAGGGACTCACAGCATTGACAGCAGGTGGCAGCAGAGAAGCAGAGATGGCCACACCCACCAGGGAGCCAACTTTACCTCCCAGAATGGAAAGTGCCACCCCAGCACCGGACGGGATTGCGATAAGTACGCCAACCGGTAAAGACCTCAGACTGCCTCTGTGGAGACAAAAAGTAGTCCTGGCTACAGATCGTATTCAATACTATGTAAGTTACTGAACTTGCTCCCATTGTAAACATGCCTTATCAAGTTAACACTATGCCCCCACGGGACGCCGATCAGCGACTGTAAGAAGCCGTCCCTTTTCCCCATGATCGGGGACGCCAATTGGAAACGGTGTGATATGTAGCGTGTACCGCACCTATATCCAGTTCCATGGGGATAAGTGTTGCAGCACGCGTTGCATGGGTGAAAAGTGTTAACTCACTTGAGCCTGAGCTATTTTTCAACCAACAACCATTGCAGCCGGACGCTTTTGGAGTATATTGAAGCGTTAACCACAAAAAGACTGCGAAGGCTATCACAATTTTTAAAATGCAACAAGTGCAACAAGAGAAGGAAAGACATGCTCTTACAGAAAAGAAAACTGCATCAATTTGTCCAAATAGTTTTTATTTTATCAATATTTTGAAATAGCAATATTGGGGGTTACACAATTTTTCCCCCCCCCCCAATTTGTAATAAAACCAAATATCGCAAAGCGGGGGGTGACTGCTTAAAAAAGCATCGCACATAACTTCACCAAATTTTTTACGAAACGAAACAAATGGGTTAACTGTCGGCTTGACGCTTCTCGTAGCTTGTAACCGAAAAACACCAGAGATATCGATTGATAAAATGCATCCCATAAATACATGGGGTTAGGCCAACGGGCGTCCTGTAAATACACGGGAATAGACTCAAGTGAGTTAATGAACTTACATGACACTGAGTTGTCACACATTTTTTTCTGAATGAAGAGACACGTATTAAGATTAGGCCACGAGAACTAATAAAAAACCCCCCCATCATACTTTCAAACTGAAAATGCAGCTGGCACCGCTTTTTCGAAACTTGAGACGACAGATTCCACTGGCCAATTTCAAACGTGGTTTGAAGAACAGTTATGAGTGAAGATGATTGAGCACCTAAGCTCTTACCTGGAAGACATCTCGAAAGTGGGCCAACTGTCACTTGACCTCCAGCTCAAGCCGCCCAACTCCAGGACTGCCGGGATGAAGCCAGTGAGAAATCCTGGTCATAGAACAAAGTGGTGTAAAACATGGCCATGGTTATTTCTTTGGTGATGGGGAACCTGGGGACGGGCAGGAGGGGGAAGGTGGGGAGGGAGAGAATGAGAAGAACAGTTGGGGAAAAGTCTGACAGGATAATAGAAACAGTAAGAACAATAACTATTTTACGTGGTGTCAGTGGAATAGTGATTAGGCTGTTAGGCAAGCAACAGAAAGGTTGAGGGTTTGAATGACATCAGGGGCCTCACGTTGTGCCTTTAGAAAAGGCACTTTACATGAATTTTCCTCATTCCACTCAGGTAGAAATGGGTACTACTAGCCAATAGACAATGAAAGATCTTGTCAGTTTGTATGTGTTTGAGTGCTTAATAAGCTGCTTGCACCTTATGCATATCGGACAGCTGAAAATGTTTCTGAGAATCCTCGGGTCTGCCATGATAATGATAATTGTGAAGCACACAGAGCATGCTGTAGAGCATGGATAGGCATTACATAAAGGCAATTATTATTATTAGTACTATCATTATTTTCTAAGATGAAGAATAGAACATGCCTTTAGCAGTAGTTGCGATGTTAATTCATAAACTCTTTTTTCTCACAGTTAATTGATTTATGTTATTAAACAGATAATTGACACTGTAACCAAAAGAACCATGTTGGAATAAAAAAAACCAATAAAAAATCCCAAACTTGCCTACAAGTATACACAACACAAGACCCTTGATCTCCGACTTGCATCCAAGATTCCGCAGCTGTTCATTGCTGATCACAGTACCAAACACACCAGCCAGGATAGGTCCCTGTCACAAAGTAAAGAAAGCCAATTGGTAAAGTTAAAAGAGTCAACTGACCTGGGGATTTATTAGGCTAGAGCAAGCCAGCTTATCCACCTGCATATGTTTTAGTAACCAACAAGTTAAAAAAATTAATTTTCTGGCTTAAAAATTTGTAATATTATGGCCATGGATAGTATTTTTCCCAGATGTGTCAAGGACAGGGGTTGCAGTTTCAAGGATGAATGTAACATAAACAGAAGCCTTATGGAATGAAAGAGGTCTCGGCCGGTTGACTATTGCAAACACAAAAGAAACCGAAGGACCATATCACAAGCCTTTGACCCTGATTATGCATCACTACACACCATATTGAGTGTCAAAGCTGATTGTTTCAAACAATTATCCATTATATTTTTTAAATTTTCATTGACATAAACAAAGCACAGGAATTTCTTACCATCGTGTCAAACTGACGTTTGCTTTACTCCTGGTTTTAGACCTACTAATATTTTTTTAAAGGGTTAAGTAGCACTCGGCAACTATTGTACAATGGGTTCTGTGAACAGTGGGTGTAAGACAGCTGCTTGTGATGCAGTGAGGATATGTAGATTGTCAGGGTTGGATTGTTTTTCTTATATTGTGGGAGGATGGGGATGGATTCAGGTAGTTAAATGGCAAAGAGATTTTTTAAAATCAGGGGAGTTACGATCATATTTTTGTCAAATAAAAAACCCAAAAACGTAATGATTCCACCAATTTAGCCAAATGGGCCAAAAAAACCTTGTTCTCACCCCGTTTTGAGCAGGTATAGTTGGTGGATAACTTTGAGCCTTTTTCTAGTTTTTACCATTGGTAGGCCGGATTGAGTACCTTGTCTTCTCAAATAATGTTTAAAAAATTCAAAAGTTTCCTGGGACATTTTTCACCTGTCAAAGATACCTCCACAGCAGTTGAAAGTTTATACATACGTACACGTGTGTGTATATATACATACATACCGGATAACTGAAATAAAAGAGTACCCATTTAAAGAATAATAACTCGGTTATCTTTGGACCATTTCAACTCAACTTCCAATAAATAAAATTCAACCAGAGGAAAGTCACATTTGTCAGTATGATGAAAATCATACTTGTTAGGAACTTACATCTTAAAAAAATATCAAGTTTTAAAAATTTAAACTCAAACTGAGTGAAACACAAAACCTTGCAATTTCTTAATAATCAATCAATTGTGTATTTATGCCTTGAACAACAAATTTATATGGAACTGAAATTGTCAAATAACTACTGGGAATGTGGTGGCTATTTATGTTGTGGATACACGTTCGATGAACGTACTTAAAATAATCGTCGATCGTCAAGACATTGTGGAACCAGTGCGCACAGCTTATGAACTGAAGCCTCACTTGTTCACAAAGACGTCTAAGAAGACGGACTTTCCCAAGATTAGATCTAAACGAAACTAATGAAAAACTGAAAATTAAACTACAGTGACTTCAGACTCCTCAATAAAACTGTGCACCCTTTAAATAATTCTGAACCACAGTTAATTTTTTCAAATTCGAAAGTTAAGTCGTTCGTAAGTTTTAAGCGGCCAAAGTGACGGACTTTCACAAATATAATATGTATAGACGCTCCAGGTAATGACCATCTATCAAGCCGGACTACGTTTAACATAGTAGGTTAAGACATCTGGACAGCACAATGATAAGTGAGAAGTTGACCATTCATTCACATGGTCGTTGATTGACTTCTATTGTGAGACAGAGCCTGTGACAAAGGTGAACTCACTTTTTATACTACAAAACACAAGTCATAAGGTACAAGGAGAGATGTCTCCTACAGTACTATCGCTACTTTTTATCCAGACTAAACTTATTTTGACTTCCTTTACACAAAAGCTTGTCACATATTCTGGAAATACACATACACATACACTACTGGAAATTCTGAATTGCCATGTGGTATGTTTTTGGGTAGATCCTTTAGATCTCCAGTTCAACATTGGGTTTCAAATGTTTGATTGTTTGCGAGTTGTTTCCACAGACTCTGTCAAAAAGCAACAACCCAAAACCACAAAAAACAGGGCAAACAATTGAGGTGTTCAAGTCAAAAGAATAGCGAGTGACTATTAATTTGTAAGCTCTCGGCTTACATGACGTCTCAAAACATCCTTGCAATCATTCAAAGGCCACTTTCGATGTATGAAACCAGGCTTCCTCAATTACATAACCTCTCCCTCTCTCCCCCTCCCCCTTTCCCAAAACTTCTCCAAACTTTTTCAGCATTGTGAAATATCCCTATAATGTGATGGTGATGGTTTTACCATCTTCGTTCTGAAACCAGTACTAGCCAATCATGTCCCTGTATCTGATTTCTTTCAGGAAGTTCAGTTTTACGTTTTCCTCAATTTTGGTTGAATTTGTTTTAATTCGTTATTTCTCGAACACGCAGATTGATTTTCTTCATATCGATATATTTAGCATATCCTTTGTTGAATTTTATTTTTTTCGAAGTTTTGTTTAATTTGATGCAAAGATGACCAAGTTATTGCCCTTTAAATAGGTCCACTTTTTAAAAGATATTCTATTTGTGTGTGTGTGTGTTTGTTTGTGTGTGTGTGCCTGCGCACGTATGCATTTATATAAATACACACGCATACAGTGGAATTCACTTATAACGAGTCCTGAAACAACGAGAAGTCTGTTATTAAGACACTATTCTAAAACCCCGTTTTTTCCCCTTCTTTCTCTTTGTAAATAAAATACTGCTATAGCGCAATCGGACAAACACGGGAGTTATACCGTAATATAGCTGCTGCTGTGCACAGTGCATAGGCTATTTATTAATGTAAAACCTCGCCAGTTGAGAAACTTGTTGGTGATCTAGCGAAACAAAGAATGAGAGAGCCCACGAGTGCCAACAATGAAGGCCTGATTGAATGAGTGGGGAGAGTGTGGCATGCACAGACAAGCAGAATGCATTGTGTGATAGGCCAGTAGAGTCTAGATTATCTAGGTCTACCACGCCTCTCACTTCACCGATGCGGGGATGGAGAGGTCATAGTGCTGTACTGTGATGGACAGAGTGCACGTGTGACGTGGGCGGGGTGTGGTATGTTTCCTTTGTGCGCAAGCAGACGGAACGCACCACAGGGTGTGGTGGGGTGGGGGACAACACAGCGGGCGAGTTAGGCCTAGCCTAGAGAACTTTCTTTCTGATCACCAACGCCGAGCTGTCAATATCGCTAGCGTTTGATAAAGAAACCTGATTCCACTTTTGATCAAGTAAGACTTAAAGGTCATGTTGAACCAAATCATCCTCAGGGGAGATTACAAAAAGAAATAAACCGAAAACCAGACTCATAGATTAGGCCTACTTTACCATTTTCCTTGAATTTATTACTGGGTCCCTTATAACGAGAATCTTGCTATAACGGACATTTGACACCGGTCCCCTCCCTCTCGTTATAACAGGATTCCACTGTAGTAATATATGAACACATGGATACATCCCTCTCTAAAATAATTCACATTGAGTTGAATATGCTGGTTTTCCTGAAACTAAAACTGAAAATAAGCCTTGACTCACCATGAGAGGGGAAATAAGCATACTGGCTACTAACACCACAGAGCTGGACTCCAGGAGACCCATCACAGAAACCAGACTGGGGAAGGGCACAAATGGCATAATAACAATTCTGCTCATTTTTTCTCCTTAACTAAAGATATTTCATTTCTTAAAAGAAAACCTTTTTATATTACAAAAACCAATATGAAATCACACCTTGAAAGAAAACGTACTGTTTTGTTTTAGTAGAGGTTTTATGGCGCTCACAACTGCATAAGGTCATATGAGTGCCAAGGGGTGGATGTCAACATAGAAGTCCTTACAGGGAATCAGACTAACTCTGCTCACCTCTCTGCTTCAACTATCAAGGCACCCCGGAAATAGCAGGTCACAAGAGTGTGACAAACATACAAAAGAAATAGAGGGAAAATGACGATAGTAAGGATTAGGAAAGAAAAGGCAGCAGTTCCCTGATGCAGTTCAGGCACAGTTATGAGCATGACATAGATAAATCAGCCCATTTACAATTACAATTCTATGGGCATAAGAACATGGTTAATGTCCCCCCTTTGGGAATGGCCTTAAGACACTTCAGTCAGTAGCACCGCCCCGGGGGGGGTTAAAGAAAACTCAGATTGCATATCAAGGGCCATATACGCGATCACCATTTGGCTACCAAAGGGGAGAACCACTGCATAGCAGCTTGCTTTTTAGATGCTACAAACAATAACAGCTTCTAACTAAACATTTTCTAAAAGCTAACAAAGACTTAAGAACCAGTCAATTTAAAGACAGAGGACTTGACCAAAGACACTGCCTCGAAAAGAAGGGGAGGATTTTTTCCCCTGACGCTTTACATCCAAAAAGTTAAAAAGTTAAAAATCATTGAAGCACGTTTTGAAAGAAAAACATTTATGAAAACAAGATACATGTAAATACCTAGACTCTATATCGTGTCCCACCAAGATACAGGTGAGCTTGGCATTTAATTTGAAAAACACAATAGAAAGCAACCTACATAATTTATTATGGAAGCATTTTGACCAGTAGATACAGGACATTATTTCGTAACCCAAGCAGCTCACAACACAATTTGACCATAGTTCCACTGTGAGAGAGGGTTTCTATCAGTCATGGGTTGCTGTCTACAGTGCAGCTTTCATTCTATTTATAACTTTCCATAGCAAAATAGATCATTCAGAAGGCCTGGCACCTGCACTTCTACCTGGGTACTGGGCAGAGGAGACATCTTTTGCATTAAAAAAAAGAAACTTCAAGCCCTTCCCTTGTTTTAGTCTCAGCTTTTAAAACTGTTACATATTCAAAACTAAACATATCACACCAACACCAAATTCTATTCATGTAAAACATCTTTTTCATTTATGGCTATGACAATTCTGTTTCTGATATTGCTGTTTCCGTTTGAAAAATGACCATCACTGCCCATCATTTATGAGCATGTCTTTAACACTTTGCAGTCACACAGCTAGCAGTACAAAATACCCCATCTGGTCACCCAGCCAGGAGAGTGACTGCAACGGACTTCTCAGGCCTGGCGCAGAACTGTGCCAGGTGACCATAACAGATAATTTTCACCGGCACATTATTGCGGCAAGTGACTGCAAAGTGTTACTTAAAACAAATATATAACCCCCCCTCCCCCCCCATAAAAAAAGCCCATGAAACTGTACCTGGCTAGTACCAACAGCATGAGGTAGTCAAAGGTGAACAAGGCATCTCCTTTTACTGAGTCCACAACCTGAAATGACAGAAAAAACCCATCTCCAGTGAAAGAACAATACCATTCTTACCTTAAAAATTATTTTCTTTCAACTTATGATACCTATGATCTTATTCATAAATACTGTTACAACAGTAAATGACACAATTCAATAAGAGATTTGAAAACAATTATTGCTTTCAAAGTGATAAGGATTTCTCTTTTTTTTTTAAAGCGGGGAGGGGGGGGGGGGAGAATTGTTTTAATCCCCCCCCATTAGTACAGCTTCAATCCAACTGCGGCCAAGTAGGACATTTAGCAATCAAACAAACAGTGGAGATACTTGATGAAATAACTTTGTCACGAGGGGGTGGCGGCTCTCATACTTATAGTCTAGAGGTATGGTGTTTGCTTCTCATTTGAAAGGTCCCGGAATGGAAACCTGTCAGTGCCGAAAAAATTTTCTTCTCTAAAATGTTCTCCTTTCCTGTTATGTGGTCCTCTTCTGTCATTTGCATCTGCTTTCATCTGCCTAAAGACAAGTGGCCCAATGAAGTAGAAAAATGGTCACATACATAAAACTCAGTTGAATAACCAGCAGTTGACAACCCCTGAGATCTAGCAGAGGAATGCAAAGAAGAAGACTACCCCACTCAGGAAACTATCCCATATTTCTTTTCCATGCAATGGAATAAGCCTAACCATAACACTCAAGATGCTAGTGTTGAGGACTCAAACTGCCTCCAGAACTACCCATTACTTGGGTTGTATTTTTCAAGGAGAAAATACTGCACAACAGCTGGAAAGAGCCTACAACTATTGCTTCATGGCATTGGATTGAAGGCTGACAGCATATGATTCGATGAATCAATGAAAACATAAGGTAAAAGTTTATGGATTCTTAACCCTTTCCACTGTAGGCTAACACAACTTTGGAGTAAAATTTCTTAGCCAATTTATTCCTGATTGCTCCTAACAGACATACAGCATTGAAGGAAGGCAATTCCATCACTGTTAACATTTTCTAGCTGTGCTGATCTCCACTACTCATTTGCAGATTTTTCAGTGCGCAAATCTCAAGATCATAGGGGCTGGCCCAGACAATACTGTTCGGCACAGTATGAGGGAGAAAGAAAGTCGGATAGAGGAAAAGATAGGAAGACATGTTCCAAGAAAGGACAAGCCTAAAGCTGAATGAGGCCCTGAGATAGTTGGAAAAAACCACCCTCATATCCATTATAATAGACAGCATTTGTATAGCGCAAATCCCCGCTCAACAGCAAGCTCTATGCGTTTCACAATCTATACTATTACCCCAGCAGACCTGATAGCATTCTGAAACAACCTCAACTTCCATTATCCTATGAATATACTTTGTGTATATTTGTCAGGCATCGTGGTGAAATCAGGCGCTCATCAAAATAATGAAATCGAAGATAGTGACATTTTTCCAACTGTTTGGCAATTTTATATAGAACTTTTGGTTTTTGCTTCAACACCTTTAATCAACACATATCTGGACAGATATTTCTCTAAAAAGTTGATGAAAGGCTAAAAAAAATGTACATTTTTCCAGTTTCTAAAGATTCTCAAACTTTGAAAGTCACCAAACTTTGGTGGCCATGTTCTTGTCAATTTTACCACTGAAACCAAGCGACCCATCACCTCCTTCAATTGCAAATATCTCGACTATTCAAGTAAAATTTGTTTTTTTTTCCATCAACAGATATATACAAATGAAAAAAGCTTTAAGGTGATACCAATAACTCCACATGCCCAAAAAGTGAGGAGTGCCCTATTCCACCGCGTCGTGACACATTTATCATGTCATAGACATGAGAGGAAAGTAGTGAGGGAACTTGTGTGTATGTGTGTGATGGTGCCTTAAAATACGCTTGTTTCAGTAAGTTGTAATGTTTTTGTAATTTTGTACGCAGAAGTCAATTTCCTTGAATAAATGATAATATCATGTTATCATTCAATCCACGTGACATTACCTGTGCAACTACAAGACGAGACTTGATTGACTTCTTGAACTCTGTGACTTTCTCTGCCAATTTGTCCTCCCTGAAATGAAGGGTACTCTGAATATAGGAGAAGCTGCAGCTGTGAAAATCATTCTTTTGTAAGAGTTTTAAGGCACTTATAACACAGTAAAGTCATAGCCTATAAGTACTTAAAGTTAGAGGCGTTACAAGAGAGTAACAAGCATAACAAAGAAGGAGGAGAGATAAGAACGACAGATGTTTGATAGGACAGAAGGAGAGATAAGAACGACAGATGTTTGATAGGACAGAAGGAGAGATAAGAACGATAGATGTTTGATAGGACAGAAGGAGAGATAAGAACGATAGATGTTTGATAGGACAGAAGGAGAGATAAGGAAGATAGATGTTTGATAGGACAGAAGGAGAGATAAGGAAGATAGATGTTTGATAGGACAGAAGGAGAGATAAGGAAGATAGATGTTTGATAGGACAGAAGGAGAGATAAGGAAGATAGACGTTTGATAGGACAGAAGGAGAGATAAGAACGATAGATGTTTGATAGGACAGAAGGAGAGATAAGAACGACAGATGTTTGATAGGACAGAAGGAGAGATAAGAACGACAGACGTTTGATAGGAAAGGAGCAAACCACACCACAGCACCAAACAACCATCCACCCTGTGAAAATCATTCTTTTGTAAAAGACATTGCAACATGAACAGAGAGACAAAAACCATCATATAAAATAAGTCAATATATGAATTATACTCTAAAAAATTGACTAAAATAGAAAGCTTGAGAGAATGGATCAAAAGATATTAGAAATTTTTAAAATTAAAAGACCAACTGAGATTCTCTTGACATAGAAATCAATGTCGACTTTTGTGGTTAAGAGCAGGATTTAAAACTTTAATAGATAGGTTTAAAAGACTTCCTCTTGAAACAGAGACTAGTAATGACCTTTGGGTGTGGGGACACGGCATGCAACGGATAGTCTGTATCAAATTTACTTACTTTTTTCAGAAACAGTGTCAGAAACCCCCCCCCCCCAAACAACTTTCAAGATAGTTTTTTTAAAATTCCAAACATTCAGAACAAAACACGACACTTTTTAGTGTCCTTGAGGAATAATTATCAACTTCTTACTTACCGTTCTATCATCTTCTGTATAGTATCCACTTCCTCCTCCTCAGCAGCACTTATTGATGCTGGAAATACACTGTGGAAGATTTCAATTTCAAAGTTCATGAACAGCTAATTTTAAAGATATATGCATTTTTAAGTAATACACTTTAGCTTTCTGTTGTTGCTTACAGTCATAACATCTTACAAGACAGTTTTTTTCTGGGTCATGACAAGTGATGCACAAAGCAAATCCTCATTTAATTGTCAAAAAAGACTGGATAATTAATAAAACTATGCCATCAACCTTGTCTCATTTTGCATCTTGTGCAAAAGAATGATGTCGAACTAGCAGAAATAAAAACACACACACAAGAAAAGTACAGATACACCAGCAGCTTTCACTACTTTTGTCCGAATAGTGAAGAAAATGAATAGTATAGTGTCAAAGGACAAAAGCCAACAGAAAGCCAAATTAAAAAGTATGTAACACTAGGCAGCATAAACACTGTGTGTAAACCAGCTCACTGCCTTCTGAGTGTGTGGTTTCGGCAAAATCAGTAAAATTCAGATTGCTGTTTCTTTGCTCTGTTGCGACGAAACATCAAATGCTGTACACCATGAAGGAGTTTTGCTTTTCTTTATAACAATGGTGTGTGCTGTTTGTATGTTTGTTTATTAGGAGCTGGAAAATTGCTGTTGAAAGAGAAGCCCCTTGTGGTTGGAATGTGAGGTCAGTCATTAAAAAAATTGACACCCAGGCATTCGAATGCTTCGTGGGAAGATTGGTGATTACATACTGTCTTTTCACTTGTTCAAAACTATAAAGCTTTGAATGGTGTATCCAGTGGTATATTGTTAGCCATTGGGGTTTAAATAGAAAGCCTTTAGTAAAATAGCGTCAAAGTTTTCACAGATCATTCTATTACATGATATATAATGTAAAATACCAACTCAAAAAAGAAACCAGTTCATTTTCTATTGGAATAAAGTCTTTGGCTAAGGATTATCTTGCATCAGTCCCTCTGACAAACTCCAAAAATGTATCAGCCCATCATGAGGAGCACTTGGTACTCTACAGTATAGAGCCAAACTGCTCAGAGGGGTGCCGATGTTATATACTTGGTGGTGCATGTCCAAGGAATGGAGTTTTAGACAGTGCACATCACATGTACTAATGAAAGGATGGGTAGAAAATAATAACGGCGATGGTATCGCTGCATTGGAACACATGTTTAGTCATGTTTTGTGCTAGAGTGTAAGATCATGATATGGTGTCAGATAAGGTTTAAACACATCCAACTGAGAGAAAACACATATTCAACCGTTCAAGAACATTTCAAGGCTTGAGGTGAGTGAACTTTTCTTTGATAACACAAACTTCTCATAAAAAAATAATAATATAAATCCCTTAATTTGTGGAGTCTTCACTGAGTGCGCTGAGAAGTGCTCCACAAAGTAAAGCCATGACCATTGTCAATGAAGAGTGCACAGCAAGCCTGGTTTTTAAAAAAGTTTTAGTAGAGGTTTTACGGCACTTGCAACTGCATAAGGTCATATAATTGCCAAGGGGTGGATATCAACAGAGAAGTCCTTACAGGGAATCAGACTTACACAGCTCACTTCTCTTGCTTCAACAGCATAGCGATGTGTACCACTTGAACTACATGCCAAGCTAAAAGAGAAATTGAATCGACAGACCAACACAGCGAGTAAACAGTCTAGTCAATGAGCTAAAGCAGGACAGATCGCCGAAGCTTTACCACTTGAACAAATGAATCATGAGAGAACAGTTTGAAATAACTGCGTTCGAACAGATTTAGTTTCAGTACAAGTTTTACGGCACTTGCAACACAATTAGGTCATATAAGCGCTGAACACCAGAGGTGTTACAAGACCCCTGGGGGAAAGAAGTATTTTACCATTTTAGATTATAAAGGCTCACTCATACTGGCGAGTAGAGTTAGATGAGGAAATCTTTTGTTTCATTAAAAAATTGATCGAGATGAAAAAGAATGATATAAAAATTCTTAGGAAACATTGGTCTTTCACACGTAACAGACAAATTTGCCATACATTGACTTAGAAAATTTAGTTCCTAGTACCTAACAACACTCTTTCTTATATTAATTACTCAAACGTTGACTCACAAAATTAAAGACAAAGTTGTTCTTAGTGATTTCTTAAGGAAACAAAAAGAAGGAGCGGGACAGATTACTATTCATTATCCAATGGACCACTTTGGGTCCTCCTGAGCACCCTCACCTAACGGAACTCCTGGGAATGACACCAACGTCCAGCTTGGCCAGTTTGTCCAGCACTTCCTCACAGCGCTCTCCGTCTCCCGTGATAAACATTGCCTAAAAGAGCCATAGGGAAAGTATGGAACATGATCCCAAACCAGGTAGTTTGTGGAACAGAGGGAGAAAATATTTACATAATATGACAATCTGAGAAAATAAATGATGAGAATCAGGCAATTTGTAATTTCCTGACACTTGTATACTTTTTGAGAGAGAGCAGGAAAACTTGTACTATCATGGGGTGGATCAAAAAGTAATGGAAGTTGTGAACTATCCTTAACTGTATCTCAAAAACTCTTAATAATATGGACCTGATATTTTCAGCCTCTTCAAAATTTTGTTGTTGATTTTGTTGCAGGATTTCAGCCTTCACAGCCACTTCTTGAAGGAGCAGGATAGGCAACTTCTGATTATACAGATATGATTTGAAGCTCTGAATTAACAGTTCTTAAATATGTTCAAACTTTTGTTCAGGAAGCTTATCTTTTGGACTTTGAAACAACCAAAGAAGTCACATGAAGCTGAGTTGGGAGTGTAGGCTGGATGAGGCAAAACTTAGACTTACATCCCTTGTTCTTGTATTCCTGCTTAGTGGGGAGCTGTATTGTTGCGGTAAAAAAAAATCGTCTCATCAACAGCATTTTTAAACTGGGGAAGTACCTTTTGCACGCAGTAAGATGGTGTCATAGTAGTAATACTTGAAATTCACAAGGATATCACTGTCAGCCTCCATTACTCTCTAATCCACCCTTGTACTCTTCTTTCGTATCAAATAGACTTTAAATAAAAAGCTTCCAGTGCGCTTTGCGAAACAGAAAAAAAAAAGAAGAAATTAAAGAGCAACAGACCGTCTTAACTGGAGGGAAGACTGTGGCAAAATGAAGTACACAAAGTATACTAGGCTCAAAGCATGTAAGAAAACAAACATACTAAATACCACACAAGTGGGCAAACAGGTGACCATACTCAGCCTCACCACATAAGTGTTATCCTCTGCAAGATGCCATTGCACAGAAGTGACTCTCAACACTTCCAAAGCAGTCTTTACTTTCTGGGGAAAAGAAGAATGGTAAACTAAACAAATTAGATTAAGATGTTTCAGAAGGCACTATAAAAAAAAGCTTTCATAACAGGATTATAATACACATGATGGATTTTATACTTGCTCCATGGGACATATAAAATAACTGCGGAATCTCTTTTTTAACAAACATTTAGTATGATTTAGTTACCATATCAATACTTTAGAGAAGTAAACCATGATCTTCCTCAACAAGCAAAGTACTCCATGCTAGTTAGACTATGCAGGTCTTATAATCTTTAATGCCTCTCTCCTCTTTTCCACCCTCTCTCCTGTCAATATGGAAGGAACATTATAGTTTGAAGAAGGGCATGGAAAAAAGAAGCTATTCATAGGGAGTTACCTCAAGAAGGGTCCAGTGTTCAGATATGAATCTCTCATAGACAGGTTGTTTCTCTCCATCTCCTGTAGTAGTATCTTCATCAACATCTGCACTATCAGAAGTATCGCCCTTCTCAGTACCTTTCAGTCCTTCCTCAGAAGTGTGTTCAGTAGAAACTGGATTGCTTTCCTCTTTACTTTCAATACCTGCATTTTTCTTTGGTGCATTCCCAAAATGAAAACCCTGTTCATCAACTCCACTGGAAGACTCGTTTGCACTGTCAGCATCTTTGTTCTCTTCTGGTGCATCTTCATGCTTTTTGGTAAGAGTAACACCATCACTTTCTTTGTCTACCGCCACTGCTGTAGTTTCTTTATTGGAATCTCCTTTTTCTTTCTTGGTTTTTGATTCATCAGCATTATTCCCGACCGGTTTCATGTCATTTTCGACTGCTGTAAAATTGATAACAATATAATTATAATTAATGAGAACAAAACCGTCGCATTATAGCTTTGAAAATGAGAAAGAATTTAGTTTAAGTTAATGTGTATCGAGAGATCTTAAGAAAGTGTTACACAATATAAAAAAAGCAAAATAATTTGTGGGTATCAAGTTAAAATTTATTATATGAAATGTGTAACATCATTAAGAAATTGGGTGCTCGTCAAAATAATGAAATCCAAGAAAGCGACATTTGTTTCACCTGTTGGGCAATTTGTAACGATTAAAAAAAAAATTAACACCATATATATATGTCCATTTAAAAAAATACATTTCAGTGTGGATTTTACTGAAAAATGTAAACTTGTAGTTTTTACTGACACTATAGCTAGTGTTTAATAGTTTTGTCACAATAACATGCTGACACAAAATATTTTGATCCCTCTGAGTGATTCTCCTTTGTACCTTCAGTAGATTGGGGACCATCACTGAGTCCACAGTTCAAGAGGTAGTTTTGTGTTATATATGCTGTAATTAGAGAAGGCCAAGAATTGACATCTCATGTGTACAGGGCAAAGTGGAAAGTGTTTGTCTGGCCTTTACTGTCATCCAGGGTGAGAAAGGCAACGGAGATGACACTTTGAAGGATTACTCAATTATGAGATGAAACAGCGTCCATCACCATACAACATTATCATTGTGGCCAAAAAGTCAAAACTTAAAAGAATTGATAAATGAACAATGATATCCACTGAGTGTACAGCAAAAATTGAAATCACCTTTCAGAACAGCTTTATCCTCATCTCCTCCTCCAACATCTTTTGCAAATATTCCCGGCTTCTCTATTTTTTCTTCTTCGCTAGCTGGAACACACACTATAAACAGCACTCTAGCCATTGTAGCTTGATACTGTTACGTCAATGGCATGTAATCTGAGTGATGAAAGAATGAAGTTTATTAGGAAGCAGTAATGCAGTGACATAGGACATTGTTTTAAAAAAATGATCCACCGGGTCTTGTGATTCTCTAAGGAGCAGACGTATAAATGCTCTTTTTCTAAACGTGAATATCATCATCAAACATACACAGTGGAATTCGCTTAAAACAAACCCTGTCATACTGTTGCACATTATTCAGTTTAGCCGTGTTTTTGGTTGAGAGAGATTACACAAAAAGTGAAGAAAAAAATCAGGGATTTTATTTTCTTTTGGTTCACTGCTGTTTTCAGAATAGCTGTGTTCAGTCGAGGTAGGGACTTCACTTTTTTTTCTTTTTTGTAAGTGTTTTATGGTGTTTGCAACTGCATAAGGTCATATGAGCGTGCGGGATACATTTAACATTTTCAGTTGGTAGGAAATTTTGGTTTTTCTCGGGTGGCAGCGGAAGCTCTCTACCGTGCACAACTTGCAAACGAGACCTCAGCGATTTTTTGCCCTTGTCCGAGAAGGCGAGGTGTAGATCTTTCCTACTTTAATAAGATCAGGGGTGTGACTGAAAGACAGCAGTAAGAAGGAGCCATGGAGTAGCAGTAGAAAGGCTGCAGAAAGAGTCAGGAGCCCAGAGGAGGGGGCAATGGAGGTGGGGGGGGGGTGGGGGCAGAAAGAAGAGACGAAAGCAGATGATAGAATATTGCTAGAGAGAAGGAAAGGAGGTGAAAGGAGACAATTTTAGAGAAGAAAATTTTTTTGATTCGAACCCGGAACCTATTGAATGAGAGACGAACATGTTAACCTCAACACCACGAGAGCCCCAGGGACTTAACTATCTGTGGACAATTTTTCAAGGTTCAAAAGATTCCAAGCCAATAGAAAATCAAAGCACAAATAATTCTTGTAAATAATGATCTTGTCCAGTAAATGAACATTTCCATGGGAGTAAGCACTAATAATAAACTAAAAGCACCAAAAAGCACCCACAGACACATACATTAAAACTGTTCTCTTCAACACAGTCACAAGACAAGATCATGTGTTCATTATTTATATTATATGTCGATCACAAAATCTAAACACAAAATGTAGAGCAGGCACAAGTAATTCCGTACACAGAAGTTCTCTCTCTCTCTCTCTCAGTCCTTATTTATATATAAAAATGGTTAGGCCTATCTGTATTCAGGAGCTGTGTCATCCATTATGAGTGTACAAAGAATATGTAGGCCTATGATACAAGTTATATAATACAAGTATTGCAAATTCACAGGGACAATACTAATACAAAACCCTTACCCATTCAGAAAAAAGTGTCCTTTGAGAGTATTCAACAGTGTTTCAGACAAGGCAGAACTCATGAACATGGACCTACTTTATTAAATGAAGGGTCCCTTATCAGAACTCTTAGATTTGACAAAGCGGAAATACTAAAACAGACTAAGAGAATGCTAAAAAAAAAGTTGAAGCATGATAAATCCCTCACTTGTATTACTTGTTAGAAAATTGAGGCAGATTGTAAACCCCCCCCCCCCAACCTTATATTCTCAAACTGCAGCTATTACAGTATGCCCTTGGCAGTTGCAACTGAAATTCCATATTAATTGCAGTTCAAAGCATGTGATACAGCTACCGAAAAAACAAACAAACAGGTGATCAAACACTTTGAAGGTTTGCACTGTGGGCCTGACAGGATAAAAAGACATATATATATATAAGAAGCTGTGGACAAGATAACCTGGAGTAAAATAGCCCTGTAAGAGGAACACAAAGGAAGATAAAAGTCGTATATGCAACGGGCATACAACTGTCATTACTAGAAGATCTTTGAAGTGATGTATAATTGGAAAAGCTACATTTATAGTCATAAAACCTGAATCCAAACAATTTTTTTCACACTTGTTTCTTCAACTCAAATTATTGACTGTGTGCACAAGAGAAGTAAGTTGCATCCTATTCACATTAACGAATATTATGTATACACACACACACACACATATATATATATATATATATATATAAAAAGTTATATATATACATATACATACATATATATATATATATATATATATATATATATATATATACAGCCGAACCTGCCTTAATAATAATAATAATAATAAATAGCATTTGTATAGCGCATCCCCGCTCAACAGCAGGCTCTATGCGCTTTACACTATATTATTACCCCAGCAGACCATAGAATACTCCGAAACATTCTCAGCTTCCTGGGAAGCATACAGTGCAAGCAGCTGATTAAGCGCTCAAACACTAACAAACTGACAAGATCTTTCGCTGTCTATAGCCGGGTACCCATTCCCATCTGGGTGAAGTGAGGAAAATTCGTGCAAAGTGCCTTTCCCAAGGACACAACGTCGAGCCCCTGACGGGACTCGAACCCACGACCTTACGGTTGCGAGTCCGAGAGCCTAACCACTAGGCCACCGACGCCTTAATGGAAACCTGTGTAAAACGGAAACCTGTCTTATTGGAATCCCCCCACTCCCCCCTTGAAACATACTCCTCTTTAAGTACCTGTATAAAACGGAAACCTGTTCAACGTGGAAGCGAAAAGAAAAATCTGCTCCCTTCCAGTCGAAGATGGAGAATGCTTTGGTTCCGCCGACTCTAAGCTTAACGCCATGCCGTTGGGTGAGGAAGGGGAGTAGGGGTGCAATTTGAGGGCAGATGTTACCCCATCTATGTGATCCCTGAGCGATGAAGATGGTCAGCGTGGTGTGGATGTAAAATCTCACGAGTGCCAGTGGAACTGCTCGAGTGGCGCCCCAGAATGGATACTTTCATTGGTAGCCGGAGGCCGGAGGTGTGAAATTAATTTGACCAATGCCTGCCGCCCTGATCGTTCGGCCAACCGAGAAAGCAGTTCATCGAATCGTTGTTACATGGCAGTGAGGGGTGGCATTGGTTACACCAATGGGTGGGGCTAAGGGTGGAAGCAGAAGGGATGTTCAAACATTTCTGTTTTTAATAGGACAAACAGTTGTCCTATAAAATGCAAGCACTGGTGGTAATGGGATAAGTAAAACTGACGCATGTCATTATCAGAGAGGATAGCAGCTGAGAGGTGTGAAGTTTTGGCCACTGATTGCCGACCGGACAAGCGACCCTTGATCCCACCAGCTGGGCCTTTGAAATCCCCCTCCATCTCCCCCCTAAATTCCCCTGTTTTAGATGGAATTTTTTTCAGGCTCCCTTGCGATTCCGTCTTACACAGTTTCGACTGTATTTATAAAGATATAGATATGTACACACACATACAAACACACATACATAAATAATTATAAGTGTGTGTGTGTGTGTGTGTGTGTGTGTGTGTGTGTGTGTGTGTGTGTGTGTGTGTGTGTGTGTGTTTGTTTGTGTGCCTGGAGAAAAATGTCTCGGTTATCGGATATTTTGGATGTTTAAATAAGAGCATATTCTTACATTGTAGAAAATTTACTGTACATACCAAATTAACATTTTTTCCAATATCTTGAGTGGTTTTAAAGATATGCCACATTTTGTAACACAAGGTGTAAAAACAAAGTTGGGAGAAAAACGGCTTTCACTTTTGTATGTTGAACCAATCTTTAGCACATTTTCAATCTTTGGTGAATAACAACATGAAGAAAATATAATTGATAAAACATATTTAGACATAAAATATTATAACATCCTTTCAATGATTTGTTATTAAGAAATACATGTAGTTACACATGCATTTTCTGATGGATTGAAAGAACTAAATTTTTGAACAGGTGTGACATTTTTGGCCTTTTCATCCCATTGCTCAAAAATAGCTCTGCTGACAACTGGGACCTTTCTCCACCCACGCACGCACACACACATGCGCACACACACACACACACACACACACACACACACACACACACACACACACACAGAGGCCTATATATAAAAACAACATAATTAGGGCATTATCCTGTCTTGGCTGTCTGTGAGCTGTGTGTGTATATAATATATATATAATATATATATATATATGAAAACCAACCAATGCTTGAAAAGCCAACTTTTCCCCCCCTTGTCACCAGGCTATCCTTTACCTCTCCTAGACAAAATCATACTGTCATAAAATTGACCTTCCTCTCTGTGTGACCATTTGCTAAAGGATAAATATAATATTACACTGTCAGACAAGAAACAGAAAAGGTTCTATAGTAAAAACTGTTTTACCAGTTTATTACAGACATCATCAAACAATACTCTTGACAATTTTTAGTACATTCCTACACATTAAAAAGTATTCAAATGACAACATGTCTCTTAAATAACCTAATAGTGTTGATAGGGGTGTTAAATATCTATACTACATATATTTATTTTCTTGTAACTTCGAAGTGTTACTGGAAACACAGTTATTGCTAATGGTGCGTGTTATAATACTTTGAAAAGTTAGTGTCTCATATTGCCATCATTTTTTACAATGTGAACGCTCATCATATACAGTCACATTTATTCATCACACACAAACACACACTCAAGTGCATACAAGCAAATACTATTTAATTTCAAAATGAGTTTACAAAGGTGCATAGTGTAAGGACAGTAATGCTTGATGGCTTATGGTTGTGTGGTGTTTTAGGCATGTCTTGTTAGTTGTCACAGAAAGTGAGCTTGTCAGGAATAGCGGAGTGCTTGCATGTCAACCACTTTAGCGTCCCCGCCTTTTCTTTGTGGTCGAATAGTTGAGTATTCACTTATACTGATGAATATTAGCTAAAGGAAATATTGTCTAGGCATTTGACCTCTTTTATGGTCGAGGGGTCTGACGTGGCAGTCTGAAGACATTAACAAAGTTAGAGGGCTCGTGTTTAACTCTCCCAGCCTGTCGTGACCCAAAAAAGGAACAGTTAGCTTGGAAATTTCTTTTACTCAGCATGATGTGGCTAGCCAATGGCATGAGCCACCAATGTAATCTTCATTCATTATATTTAACATGCTTTTATGAATTCGAAACTTGGTGGCTATAGTTATACTAGAAGATACCATATATATATATATATATATATATATATATATATATATATATATATATATATTATATATATATATATATATATATAATAGGAAATAATATCATGAACCCAAAATAGACCAGACATAGGAAAATAAACAGTGTTTGCCATTTTAAAGTCATATATATTTTTAACCCTTTCCCGAGTGACATTATATTTCATGAGAGAACTTGAACTGTGAGTGATAGGGAAAGCAAGATACATACATGTATATTATTTTCTAAGAGCACCCACATAAAGAAGTGAATGGTGTTTCAGGGCTCTTCATGAAGATGTTATTATGGTATGTTTTTATCTATACAGACAGTTCTATATTTGGTGAGTGCAAAAGGGAGGGCATTCCCCGACAACATCAACTCATTCGAAGTCCACTGTATCAGTCAAAAATATGTCTGAGATCACATTTATTTACAACAGTTGTCCTCAGCCAAGTACTTATCATGTTGCAAGTCACCCTGTTCGTAATTTTTTCTTACTCTGCAAAGGAGCCAGAATGCTGTTGTGGCATCAAAACCCTGTTCATCATGCTGTGGAAAGTGTGAGAACCATAATGACAAATAGGTTGTATTCTGCGCTTCTATAGTAAAACTAATCGCAGATTCGCATTTGGCTTGTAAGTGACATGAGGGGCTATAAATTCATCATCAGCTGGTCGACGATATGACATGCTTTGACTTGGAGAAAACATTTTGCAGGGAAAAAAAGCAAAATTGAAAATTTTGTTGTTATCCAATCTTACCATGATGGTGCAGATGTAGCTTACTATGATGCCTCTGCCTCTAGATCTATATGATTATTTATAATACTAAATCTCCTGTTGATTTCCTGAGCAAGTTCTTTCAGAACTACCGGTAGACCCCGTAGTATAATTAAAGGCCGGCTGTATTTCTCAGAACTTTCGGGAAAATAAACTTGAACTTTATTTCTTAACGGCTTTCGTTCTCGAGATTTTTTGATAATAATTGCGAATGGAGTGGCCCGTATATATATGTGTGTGCCTGTGTGTGTGTGTGTGAGTGTGCATGTGTGGGTGTGCGTGTGTGTGTGTGAGTGTGCATGCATGTGTGTGTGTGTGTGTGTCTGTGTGTAAGGTGTGAATGGGGAGTGGGGGCGGGGCGCGGAGGGATTTTAATTTTTACATGAAGGATTTGTTTTTGCTGGGTGACTAAATGCACGGTACTAGATTCTAGATTTGATCAAAATCTAGATCTAGATCTAGATCTAATACTAATGATACATTTTCTTTATTTATATACTAGAGTCTAGAATCTAGAAAACATTATTGGTAGATATTTAGATCTAATCTAAGACATTTTATTTTTATATAGATCTAGATATCTAGATCTAGATCTAGATTAGATCTAGATTCTAGATTTAAATTCATTTCCTTATTATTATAAACTACTAACTACTAGATCTAGATCTAGATCTAGATCTAGATCTAGATCTAGATCTAATCTAGATATAGACTAAATCTATAATAGTTTGTATAATTGTTTCTTGTCTTAGAGACAGAAAAAAAACACCTACTCACAGCACGACTCTGTTACCTTTTCCTTGAAAGCCAAAAAGTCCCAATCAGTCCAATGTACCAAATTCATGAAATCCTTTATTTCATTAATTTTACGATCATGTTGCCACAATGTAAACAAATATGTTGTAACTGGAGTTTCCCAAGTGCCCTGACCGCCGAACGCCGGTCATACTTTTAAAAAATACATAACTGTATTTCTACCGGAAGTACATATTTTAACTATTTTGGCGTCTCTGACGACGATTGCAGTCTATCTGAAAAGGATTTTCTCCTGTTCGCATGATATTGAATTCATCATGGTTCGCAGTATGTATTTCCGTTACGAATGAAAGTAATGATGCCGTTTGAGTAATCAATGAAAAAACATTAAAAATTTTAACGTTATGAATATTGACTTTGGGGAGGCACCACTGCCCTATCCAGGAACAACACTCAACAGAGGAAGCTTCATCGTGATGCCTCCATTTTTTCAGCAGAGGCCACTGCAGTAGGAGAAAATTCTCCCAAATCATCTTTTCTGATCCTGTCTTATTCCTTGTCTTACTTCACTTACCTCACAAAATTCACTCTGAAACCCTTAAATAGTTTTTTTACAGTTGAAGATTCACTCCTTGACAGAATCGGGAAAGCTTATTGTATCTGCATGTCTACCTAGCCTTTCAGCATCCAAGGAAACAGACAGGTAGATCTTCTGGTGAAGAAATTATTCTCCCCTCCCCTTGTAGGGATCAACGGGAACGCCTTCCAGCAGACAGTCTTTAAAAAATAAGGTCAAAAGCTATACCTCCAGTCAGTGGGAGGAGCAATGGAGGGAACGGCTGAGTAATCAACTCCACATTGTATTGCCCAAGTTGGGTCCAAGAAAACCTTCGGGTCTCTCAAAGGAGACGAAGATATTTTAACAAGATCATGTTTTAGACATACCTCCCTGAAACACCTCCTGCAGAGAAAGAAAAAATCATTTTGTGTCAGGTGCGACACTGACTTTATGGTCAGGCACATCCTAACAGAATGTCCAAACTGAAGGGAGACCCGAAGAAAATATTTTAAATGCTCTAACTTTTAGAATTTATTCTCCATTGTTAATCCGAACTTTAAAGCATGGTCGTGCACTGCCACCCCAAAATTTTTAATGCACACAACACCCACACAGAGACAATAAAAGAACCTTTAACATCCACTATCCAATCAATTTTCCTCGCCAGAGCCTAATCGGTCATTAGAGTATCTGTAGCACTCTACAGCATTTACTATACCATACCAAGTCCTGGTGTTTCACTCAAGTAATAAATAGCATGTTCAGTAGTGGTAATCTATTCTAACTCGAATAATGCTCTATGGGCTCACCCAAACATTTGTGACGTTTAGAGCGAGTTTCATAGTACATAAATATTATAAGGCGGCACAATCTCAATGTGCACCAGCCGAACAAAGCCCACAGAGGCAGTCTAAAAATAATGTGAAACCAGTCCAGTTCACGACACCTTACACAATCCAGTGCTCGTATCATGACAGCTTCGGAGTAATCCACTGGAGTGCTCACAGTGATGTGCGATTGATCCATTGTCTTGCCATATATCCAGCCCCACCTCTGTGGTGCTGAACTTGAGCGAGATCAACTTGACGTAAATAGGTCACCATGTCCAGTAAAACCTTACTTGGAATGATGTGGTGGTGAAAGTTTTATTACTTGGGTGTGCTATTCCAATGCAGGATAAATGAAGTCGATTTTTTGCTTGCAAAATTCAGTTCTTTAAGCCAAAGTGACAAGAAGAAAGTGAAAGAATTTTATAGGCCCTCATCAACCCAAAGATATATCAAAATAATACAACCCGGCAAAAAGATGCAATCGCGTTTTTAAAATGGATCTTTGCGAAACAGTGGAGTGGCTTATTGTCAGCGTTAGCAAATACTCACTGTAAATGTTTCTATTGTCTCCTTTTTGGAACTGAGGACGCCAAGTGGTCTAAGACAGGTTTTACTGATCTTGTCCCATGTGAAACGAAGCATTAAAGACACGAGACATCAAGAGCGCACGTCAACAATGCATCACACTTTCAGACAAGTAGACACAACAGCGCAGCTAGATGTTCGTCTTCGCATTGCAACGTTTCACTATATCGAACATTTGAGAAAGAAAAGACGCATACTTTGTTCTGTGGAACTCATGAACTCGCCCTTCGCGGCTGTGAAGAAGGTGATTTGTCGGGAGAACAGAGGTATCTTTCTTTCTTTACTGCACAGAGACGCTAACACTGACAGGATACTGTTTGGTCATCTGCAAAGCGCTGCTGTTGCAAAATATACTTCCAAAATAATACTAAAGGAACTGCTGGACTGTATTTTCAAAATATACCCCAAAGAACTGTAAAAAGACAAATGCTCCACCAACTTTGTTTCTGTTCAGGCTGACGGAGCAACTGATGCAGGTCATTTGTCACAGTTTGGGATCATTCTGAGGTATAATATTAAGGACGTAAAACTGGTAGAGCGGTTTCTAAAGTTTTGTGAAGCCAAAGACAGAACTTTATCAGGGCTTGTTTCAACCTTAAAAGAAGGTTTAGAACCATTCAGTGTCGAGGAGAAGCTGATCGCTCTGACCTACAAGATGGGCATTATATGAGCGTTAGAGTCTCTGGTGTACAGACTCCTATGTGCCAATTTTCCCCTCATGATGTCTTTGTTCATTGCTATGTGCATCAGCTGAATCTTGTTTTAAAGCAGTTTCGCTAAGGCTGCAGGTTTTTCGACATTTTTGCCCACTCTACAAAAGGCATCGACATTCTCATACATGTTCGTCACCGGAATATTCTACGGCTGTCTGAAACGGTGGAATTTTCAGTCTTGACTTATTAGCACAGTCTTCACTTGGAAAGGTGAGATCCAGCTCTGTCTTGAAGAAATTCAGTCTGAGCACTGGAACGATATAATATTAATACCACCCACGAAGCATATGGTCTTTTGTATGTGTATTAAAGAGTGATACAATCCTCTTCTTTTTGCACTTTTTCACAAAGTGTTCTTACACGTTGATGTTGTGTATGGGATCCTCCAAGACAGAAGCACAATGCCTATAGCAGCCCAACAAGCTCTAGAAACGTTTAAAACATCTGTCGAGGAAATTTGAAATAGCATATAAGGGGTCCATCAACAAGTCAAACCATAGAAGAACACACTTCCAAAAGATGCCCAAAGATAGTGAGGGTCCGAGTGGAGCAACTGAAAGTCATGTGTTGGGCTGTACTAAACTTGCAGGTTCATTTGAGCAGGGCTGGAGATGGAGAACCTCGCTAACCAAGGGATATTTTGTTGCTAACTCAAATTGTGTAATAATGTGCTCCGGTAAAACACAAACTTCTTTGCAGGATTTTATCCAAGGCCCATCACAAGTCATTGACAAAATTTTATCGCGCAAGTGTTAACATTAACAATGTTAGACAGCTTTTTTGTCTCTCCTGTGAAATATTGAAATTTGAGTTCACAAGGTTTCAACAGATTGCTGACGTTATGCATTTGCAAGCTCCGTAAAACTTTTACCGAATTTAAACATGATTCAACATACTTTTTTCATCATCAGTTACAGAAGATCTTGTACGTAAAAGGGCTGAGCACAATGAACTTCAAATTTCCTCTCTGGAGGAAGTCTCATTGCATCAACAAGACATTGAAAGGTAAATATGAATATAATATGGTTGAACCATCTCCTATGTACACCTGTCCAAGACTATCACCTGTACAAATGACAAATGATCGCCACCTCCCCCCTTGTATTTTTTAAATGTTACAATAACATGGCCCAAGACTTCCACCTGTCCAAGGCAACCACTTTTCTCTGAAACAATCGTGACCATCTGGGACAATTTCAATAATAATAATAATAGTAATAACATAATATATATAATAATAATAATGATAATAATGATACTAATAATAATGATGATGATGATGGTAATAATAATATCAACAATAATAATAATAATAATTTCCTTTTTCTTTTTTTCTTTCTTCTTCATGCAAAAAATGTGAAATACTTTATGGATAGAAAGAAGATTGGAATATAACCTTTTAACATACAGGGGCATGTTTTATGAGAGCACTTAAGTTAAAAGGCACCATAACTTACTGCTTTAGAAATGTTTAGATATTTGCACTTTAAGTTTATTGAAACTGAATTGAAATGTTTTCTACTTCATCATCAATATCATCATCATCATCATCATCATCATCATCATCATCATCAATATCACATCATCATCTTCGTCGTCTTTCTCAGTTGCTCTGCTTTATCCTCTTCATAGAAGGCCCCAAAAGCAGCAGCTCAGATAACAGTTCAGCAGAAGAAGGAGGCATCCTCTTCAAGCTCATGATTTTTTGGTTAGAATGACACAAAGCAATTTTTCGAAATATGTCGTGTTATATCCGCTGTAAGTGAAACAGTTGAGAAGATATTTATTTATTTCAATCTATGATCTGTTTCTCAGGCTTGAACATCTGGACAAATGGTGTCGAGAGCTCAAGATTCTGTATCTTCAGAGTAATCTGATACCAAAAATAGGTAAAAATTCATATTGTGAAAACTAGGTTTTGTAGTGCCCCTCTAATGTTTTGTAGTTGTTGACGATCCATGTTAAAAGCTTATTTTGAAAAATATTTAGTCAGCTGTCAATTGCATATAATGATATGACGTTATCCTCTAAAAGCGCTGTCTTAAAATAGTATTGAGCTTTTTTAAAATATTGCCAATTTGGTGAGTATAAATTCTCAATGTTAAGTACTACTGAATTAATTAACACTCCATAAACTGAGCAGGTTGATGTTCTTTTCTTCTTTAATGTACTTTTAACAAGCTAGTTCTTTACTGTGGTACACTTCACTAAGAATCATCTACAACTTTATTTTTCTTTCAGAAAATGTCAGCCGCCTCAAAAAGCTGGAATACTTGAATTTAGCCTTGAATAATGTTGAGAAGGTTGAAAATTTAGAAGGTAAGAGACTTTAGACTGAAAACAATATTATTTAAAAAAAATTTTAACCTATGGAAGTGGCCTTTCTTTATAATTGCCTTTTCATTTAAAGATTTTCTACTACCAATGGTACTGAAAGAAACCTTTGAAGTTGTGTAAAGAAAGAAAATACAATTTTGTAAGTCTCAGTGTTTTTACACCCCCATCAACATAATTTTGATCATCACGGAGGTTGCTTTGACCCTATCTGTGTGGGAAAAAAATCAGGCTGAGCGGGGATGCAGCATCTCAGCAGACGCTTGGGGATATTATTAGACGAAACCAGTTCTCACTCAGGAATCAAACTCAAATCTTGTGCATAGAATGTCAAAGTGCTGCATCAGTCTGATGCTTTTAAGAAGAATACAATCAATATAAATTTAGTTTTCATGCTTTTTAATAATAAAAATTCAATGGATTCACCTGACAAATTGGTTCACTGTTTCTTTTGGCAGGTTGTGAATCATTGAGGAAACTAGATTTGACTGTGAACTTTGTTGGCGAGCTCACATCTGTTGAATCTTTGTGCAATAACTACCACTTCAGAGAACTGTAAGTATTACATGTGTATGTGAAAGTATTATTTTTCCCAAACAGCAGTCCTGTCTGAAATTCTGTTTAAAAGAGTTGGGACATTTAAAAGATAGATTGAATTTTCTTCAATTTCTATGGTTTAGAACTGTCAAAGTGTGAATCTCTTCATGTGTCTGTACAGTATACATTTTGGTACATTTTCACAATAAGTATGAACACCAGAAATATTAAGTTAATTGTTTTGGTGAAAAATGATTTTCATCATTATGAAAATACTCATACTCATATGGTGATAAGTGTTAGAAATAATTTAAATGTACTTGGAATGTCTTTTTCACCCTTGTTGGCAGCAACATTTGTACTGGAAGCAAGGAACATCTGCAGCTTTATAGGTATATAGTTTATTGATCCCTGTACGAAGATACAGTACATCTCATAACACACTTCACCTGACATGCTACATACAGCAGCTTGTACTTTGTTTAGGAAATTACACCTTTTTAGTATGTAATATATAAATGTGTGTCAAAGGTAAAATTACGTCAACCATTTGAAACATTCTTTTCTTTGTGTAGGTATTTAACAGGGAACCCATGTTCAGACTTTGAGCACTACAGAGAGTATGTCATTGGGACATTACCCCAGCTCCAGGTAAAAACTGCGTAGGTTATGTTTAAAATGAAGTTAAAAAATTCTTGTTTTCAAATTTTCATATTTTTTATTCTCGTCAGCGCCAGATCTGAAACAGACATTGGTGATCATGGCTCAGAAGCTTTAAAGATTCCCAGATTATCCTGGTGTTTCCCTGTCAACCATCTGTTCAGATTTTCCAAATATCTTTCTCTGAGTCTGCCCCTGCCACATTTGCTTTATATATTTCCAAAGAAAGCAAGATGTTCAAAACCCTTTTGTCTAGTCAGGTGTCTTAGAAGCCATATTTGTTACTTCCTAATTGCTCTAATCAAAATTATTTAGTGGTCCACCTGGGCCTCTTTCAGGAATTCCTAATTTAATTTCTTTTTTATCCACAAAATTCTCAAAAGTCTCCAGAGAAACCACATTTCTGTTGCTTCTATTTTATTTTTACTTTCATCGGTAATTTTTGTCTGGCATTCACAGCCATATAGAAGGGTTAACCATACATGGCCTTTTAGAACCCTTGTTTTGGTAATCATTGAGATGATTTTATTTTTCAGGATTGGACTCATTTTTACTGAGACTGTCTAAGCTTTAGCTACTACGCTTCTTTGTTTTATTTTGTGGAACATTTGGCGTTGGATGTATATGATATATCTTTGATATGTAAATTGTTGAACTTGTGTAATCTTTTCTCCTTGCTTATGGGATTGCAACTAGGGTTTACTGCTTCTTTGGGGGGATATTACCATGCATTTCGTTTCACATTCACGCTGAGTCTCAACAGTATTTAGAAGCAATTGAAGGTTATTTTCTGAATCTGCAATTAAAACTGTCATCAAACACACCGGGCAATAACTCAGTCATCTTCTGATCAATTTCAATGACACTTTGAAGAAATGAAATTCAACCAGGAAGACATCACATTTGTCAAAATGAAATGAATCAACCTCCATGTTTGAGAAAAATTAAGTTTTTAAATTTTCAACCAAAATTGAGTGAAATGCAAAACTTTGCAACTTCTTAAAAATCAACCTTACTGATCTATTTCAAATAGTTACCATTTGTGCATTGAAGAACAAATTCAAGGAAAAAATTATATTTCCAAATAAACCTAGGCAGGTGATGGCTATTTATATCTCCAGGGGTTGACCTTTTCTCTCCCTACAAGCTCCAATACACCACTGGAAATTTTGAATAACCCAAGCGCATGTTTCTGGGTCGATTCTTTGGACATCCTGTTCAACATTGAGTTTCAACTGTTTGATCATTTGTGGCTTGTTTCCATAGATACTGTCAAAAAAACCCAAAGGTATTAATCTAAAGGACTCAAGTTTGGGGGAAGATGGTGACCATTCATAGTAAACGGTCAGCTTTTAAGGCGTTCCCCAAACTATTCTTGCAACAATACAAGGACCTCTCTAGATATTTGGGGTGTAGCCCCATCCCACTGGAACCAGGCCTCTACAGCATAATACTTTCTACTCCCCAAACTTCTCTAAAGCTTTCTCAGAACGATGAGACATCCATCTGATGTGACTGTTGTGGTTTTACCGTTCTTGTCCTGAAACCAGAATTCGGACTGATCACGCTCCTATTGCTGAATGTTTCAAAGAAGTGAAATTTTGCGTTTTACCCTAATTTGGTTAAAATTTTTAAAACTTTATATTTCAGGGAGGCATTGATGGATTTTCTTCACAATTACAAACTTGATGTCCCTCTGGTTGAATTTTGTGTGAAAATTTGTTAAAATTAGTGCATTAATGTCTGAGTTATAGCCTTTTAAGTGGGTCCCCCTTTTTTTAGACACCCTGTATCTGATACATTAATGTTTTCTCCAGTCCTTGAGACATGAGGATTTTTTTTTTTGTGTTTAACGATTATTTCACTATATAGGTAGAAAGGTCTGGTGAAATGACTCATCCCTGCCTAACTTTATTGTAGTCTCCCTCAATTTTTACAGCAATGTTTGGGCCCCAGTACGACAAATTCCTAATAATTCTTGGTTCTTATTCTAGTATTTTTAGAAAAGAAACACCTTTCTGTCGGTGACATCATAAGAATTTGTGGGAATAGAATTTTGTGATTTAGAAGAAAATGATTTGTCTTAATCTAGAAATCATTGTTTTAGCAATAGGAGGAGGTGACATTTTATTTCACTGACTGAAAAAAATGAATTATTTGAGATTTTTAGAAAGAATTTCCATTTAAAAAAATGAATCAGCTCCAGTACTGTCCAAATTCACCTCCATACAAAAAGCGGTTTTTATTGATGATAATGATTATAAGAAAAGAATGAAAAAAGCCTTTGAATATCCCATGGAAGGAAATTCAGCAGTATAATGTTTTTCTAATCGTGTTTCTCCTTGTCATACTGTTCATACATTATGTTCAGTTCCAAAAATGTATGTTCAAAGTCCTCACGCTATATGAAAAGAACAAGTGTGGGTGTTTAAAATGTTGACTGGTGCTCTTCTTTGTCTGTCTTCACAGTGGCTTGATGGAATACAGATTGAAAAATCAGAAAGAATACAGGCTGTTCAGGTAGGTCTTATATTTATTTAGACTGATTGTGAAACTGGATTGTCATTTGTTTGAACGTCAACAATTTTGATTAGTGGGCAAGCATGCAGTAACAAATGAAAATTTGTTTTTCTGTAAATTAGAAAGTAAGATGCAGATACATGTTATTGGTATTGGTAATATTATTACCTAACCGTGGCTACTGTTTAGACATAAAGTTAAATCGGTCAGTTTGGTAAGAGTTTTATGGTGCTCACATCTGTATAAGGTAAGATAATTACTCAACAATATGGCTCTGTCCATGTTTTATTTAAACATTACAACAATGAAACTGTTATAATTCTGCTAGTCTTGGTTTACATAGATTAAAACTGATATGTGTGGTTAATGCTGTGAGGTACAATCTAATCCTGTTTTTTGTGTGCAGAATCTTCCTTTTATCAGAGGGAGGATATTAGAACAGCAAGCAGCACACCTGAAGAAAAGGGTGAGTAATGCTTACTAAGCAGTATGAGTAATGCTTACTAAGCAGTACGGAAAAGTGAAAAATAGAAATGTGCATAAGCATGTAATCTAATTGTTTATTTATTTTTAAAAAACCTTAATGAAGATTCATTACAGACTGCTATACATGTAGTTCAAATTTTTGTGCGTTGAAATATTTCTTTTGTCACTTTAAGTAATTCGTTTTCGCCACATGTAAGTCACATAAAGAATAAGGATTACAATATTTATGTTTTTACACATATACCCGACAGCAGACTAAAGGCAGTGTTTAGGCTCATTCTGAATTATACAACAAAAATCTGAACCAGCAATTTGTTTATTTCATAGTGTGTGTGTGTTGTAGCTTCAAATGAAGACAATATAATTTTAAAATCTGCATGGGTAACGAAGTCATGCTTCTTTTTTCAAAGTGCCCCAAAACAGTGCATCTTCAAGCGTTGTTAAAAGACTAAAATGAACGTCCACAAAGAGTTAAAATTGTGAGTAATTTAAGTGTTCAATTAATTCCATCAGGCAAGAGAAAAAGCAGAGGCAGCAGCGAAACAAAACGGCAAGGCAAAGGAAACTGATGGGGTTGAAGGTGATGAGAATGAGGAAAGCAACAAAGAGAACAAACCAGGATTTGATGGCAGATGGTACACTGACATAAACGAAAGGTATGCTCAAGTGTTGCTGTGACTATTTGTAGTTTATAAGTTTTTTAAGTTAGTTTTTAAAGGGTTAGATTTATTATTGTATGATGATACCAAGACAGATACAACCCCTGACAGAACTACAGCTCAGATTACTAGATTACCTTTATAGACTTTGAGAAAATGACCTTTTTACAGTAATAAGTAACTTGAGAGAGAGAGAGAGAGAGAGAGAGAGAGAGAGAGAGAGAGAGAGAGAGAGAGAGAGAGAGAGAGAGAGATTAACGATTATAACTTCAAGCAGACTCAAGATATAATCTTCCTGACAACATATTAAAAAAGAATTTTAAAAAACCCCTAGAGATAAGAAAGAACATGTCGACCTGTCTCATGCATACGTATATATTTATTTATTTAAAAACGAACGTACGGCGGTACGACAGACGCTGAGACTGCTTTCTTCACACTGTATTCACAGTTGCAAACAGATAAGTTATAAACCGAGAGAAGGGAATTCATCAATATTTATTTGTACGTCAAATTAAGGAAAACATTGCGTGAGCTAGCGCGTGGCGTCTCTCTTAATTGACACAGAACTGTGGGATCTAAGTGTGTCAAATTTACGTTCCACGAAGTTAAAAGTAGGACTCGATGAAGATGATGAAAACGAAAGTAAACGAAGAGGTGATGGAAATTGGATATGCCGGGAGGGCCACAAGTTAATCACACCTTTCGTATCAGAAAACATTCTTACATTTCAAAACCTATAGTGGTTTTTGTTCACTTTTTTACTGTCAGGTATTACCCATGACAGCCTCCGACCCCCCCCACACCCACACACACACACACACACACACACACACGCACGTACGTACGTACGCACACACGCATTCACACAATCACATAATAAATGACATTTTTATAAAACAGTATTTTACACATCATTGAATTGGAGCACTGGAAACAGAGACAAGAGAATTGGCAACGGTAGCAGGAATTTTTAAAAATATCAAGAGCTTCATCAGTAATAGCAGCAACCATAGTAGAAACAGCAAAAAGGAAAAAAACACAAAAACAACAACACCACCATCAACAACAACAACAGCAACAACAGCAAAAAACAACTACTACTACACTACTACTACTACTACTACTACTACTACTACGACAGCAACAACTGCACAACTGTAAAACCCCAAAAGACGTGTTTTACACAACATCACTACCATAAGACACGACCGCAGACATCATCAGTAACAGGTTCCGCTAAACAGCGCCAATCTCGAAGGAAAGCAGGCGCGGAGAAGTGCAGACACGGCAGAGGGTGCCTGCCAGAAGAACAAAGAAACTGCCAAAAGGCAAGGCAAAAAGGCGTACCATTCCGTCTTGTAATCGGGTCTCAAAAGTCACTTCCTCTGGCTGTTGTTCCAAGTACTAGGTAGCAAGAAAAACATTACGTCCAACCCCTAACCTTTTCGCCGATGACTTTTAACGATAGAGATTACAACCAGTGCGCAAATGTTCTCCGCTGGCGCTACCTAGCGGGGGATTAGGAGATAGAGGGCGCTCCCCCAGACTGGATCTAGACGGGTGGCTGGCTCTAGATCTAGGTCACGAGAGCCAGGGTATGGCAGAGTTTTGGAGTGTCTGCTAACCAAGTGCTGAGTGATTGCCTGATTGGCAGATTCCCCTACCAGATGAAACATTATACTGAGCCATACTATTTATTTTGTCTGATAAAATATGGTTTCCTTATCTGATGAAAGCCCCCATCCCATCCCACTTTACTCCCTATTTGTTTCCCTTTCCATCGTCGTAAAAGTAAACTTGAACTCTCTATTCGGATATTACTTGACCTAGTACGCGTTTTCGAGGTTTCTACTCACTTCGGTTGCTCCGACACCATGTAAAACAAAACGACTGGGGTTGTTTTTTTGTTTTTGATTTTTTGTATTTTTTTTTTGTTTTGGTATTTTTTATATTGTGGGATTTTATTTTTTTCAAGCTGAAGGAAACTCAGATGGAAGCTAAATCAAGGAAATGAAAGTTTATTGTGGGGATGAAAATAGAATTACCTTGAGGTGTTCACTGCTTCAGCTGCTATCCTCGTTGTCGTCCTTCCTGTTGTTGCTGAGGTGGTTGCTGCTGAGGTTGTTGCTGCTGCTCACCACCAACTTTTGATGTCTGGCCTCTACAGCAGCTTCTGTCACATCTGTTTCTGGGAAAGAAAAAGATAGTGTGGTTGTAGTATAAGCGTAAGAAATTCTTTCATTCTTTTATAACGCGATTATAAGGTGATCTTATATACCTGGATCTTTCTCTTTCATGCTCAGCGTTATTATTGTTCTGTACTATCATTGAGAAATCTTTGAACAGCTTTCTTACGGGCGGTTAGAGAATGTTCTGTTTTTTCTAACTTCATCAAACGTATGCTCAGCGTTACCGCTGTTCAGTTCATCCAGGAGGAAATCTCTCAACAACTTTTAAGAGAGCAGTTTGAATGTGTTTTTATTTACCTGGGCCCTTCTGTTTTACACTAAGGGTATATTAATGTTGTCATGATTTTCTTACAACTTACTCGCAAACTGTGGCAGTTATCATGCGCGGCAGGAAAATACATTGTACAACACACCTGAAAACGACATGACGTGCTTCACGGGAGAGTTTACAGCTTTCATGTGTGCTTCATTGGTTCCATGCCCGTGAGGGAACGTCTGAGTGTGCCTCCTATGCGTGAGTGTATGTGTGTGTGTGTGTGTGTGTGTGTGTGTGTGTGTG